TTTAATTATAATACAAAAGATAAAATGGAGGAACATGACACTAATTTTTTTTTTTTTCATTGAAGCAATAATTATTTATGGAATTTCCTTTATAAAATACTTAGTTACCAACTTGCTATTACTAACACTTGTTGTATTTTAATTTTGATAAGAGAACGAAACAGCAAATCACCTTTGTCATTATTTTCACCCATTACTTTCACCACATCGTTACATTCACTATTGCATATTTCCCAGGCAAATAATTCATAATACAAATAATTCGATAGCCAACGGGATCAGCCCACAAACTGTAATCGTCTTAATATCGAACATAAAACTAAGCCTGTTTAAAGGAAGACCCTGGCGTACTCTATGATACACAATAGACAAAAGTGTTTGTAAGCTTAAATAACACGAAATCGTCATCTCTCTATGTAATTCAATGGCTGTCATAAGCTTATCCTACGCGATGTGATCACCTCATTAATTATCTAATGTCTATTATGACTAAATTCTTATCATACAAAAGATGCTCTACGGAATCTAGCCTCGTACACGAAGCAGCCAATATCAATATTCATACGTAAGAAAAAAATTGATGTACGTTACCGAACGATTGTAGAATAATTGAAAATCGAAGTGACGCGGGTAGCGTGGCCGAGCGGTCTAAGGCGCTGGTTTAAGGCACCAGTCTCTTCGGAGGCGTGGGTTCGAATCCCACCGCTGCCATTTTTTTTTTTGTTTTTTTTTTCATTCTTTTTTCTATTATCATTAATAATATTTTATTGCTCGAAGGAAGTTCGGAAATTCGAGGATTTGTTTAAGAATTCGACAATTTTGCTTGTAAAATCTTTGATAATTTAATATTACGAAATCGGCAATACAGGGATCTGTTTTGGTAGCATTCGATAAGCCATAAGCGTCCCATGCTCTCTTCTTTTTCTAAGGAATAGTATAACAACCGTAGCTACTTGTGCTCCCAACAATAGTGCATTTTTTTTTGTTTGCATTTCGGAAATAAAAATTGGCCTGGCGAAAATCCCTTCATCTTTGAATATAATTACTTTACTGTCTAATGATAATGAGCAAAATTCTAATTGTCTTGGATCAATGCGAATGAATTGGCTGAAGAAAGGGGTCCGATTACATTAAAACGTATATTCATTGACTGTTCAAGCGACTGTTGGAAACAGAATGAATCAAGATTACCAGCAAGAACTTAAAAGGTACTTTATCATTCTTAACGAATGATATAAATTAACAATCATTGTACACTAATGGCATTTATATTTTAAATAACATTACGATGTTTATTAAAAACTTTGACTTTATAAAAGAATATTAAACAAACTTATTTTTTAGTAATAAGAATACACATTTTTAAACATGCGTAATAAAACCGAATAATAAGTAATCTTAAAAAACAATATTTTGATAAAAAGAAAAAATAATAATGTATTATCTTATATTGAAGGTCAACATGCAGTATAAAAATTTCCAACCTATGATGAAATTTACTCATTTTTCTTCGATACATAATTGAACAAAAATAATGTCCATATTCAAATTTTTATTCAAACAATTATTATATGTTTATTATTTTTGCTATTGACGCGATAAATGTATTTGCAATTTTATGATAGTTAATCGTTAGTGGAATGTTTATGACAACATTCGTTTTAAAAGAACGTTATAGCGAATTTCGAACAGATTAAAAGAAACTGGTTTAATATATGAAAAATAAGAAATACATCTGAATTCGTAAAAGAACAAAAAAAAAATCAAATGAACGGATGAATATGTGATTAGGTGCCGCAAAAAATATTCAAAATGCCGAATAATAATAAATATAATTTGTTTTTCAGATTAGAAGTTACGCATGTAATTCAATAAAATATTCATTAATCGATTATTTTCGATATATGAGGAATATATATAATATATACTGAAAGTTTTTAAAGTATCTTTTTATATCATAGATTGATACAAAATCCAATATAATTATATTATTTTATTTAAGATAACTATTTATAAAAATAATATTTCGAGTACTTTCAACAAATAGTACAACAATTCATAAAATCTTATCGACTATTTAAGTATTATATTTACACTTTGTTTTTCCATTTTTCTAAAGATATTATCTACTTACACAAATTCTAAACACAATGTATTATATGAATCTTTAATAATCACGCGCCTGTGTTCGCGTGCGTAATATATTATTGAATGCATAAACAATTGCTTGTAACGTATTCATAAAATTATATAATATATTTCGTAAGATGATGAAATCTTACTCCATCAGTGTCCGAATAAAAGTTATTATAGAACTACATTATATGCCTCATCTCAAACTATTTAAATAATATCGTCAAAATGTTTAATAAATTCGATACATTTCACTAGCGAGAAAAACCTACAAAGAACAATATCAAGGAATTATAATAAACACGAAAAATATTTTAAATAATTACTTATCAAATTTATATTATTTGCGTATAGTGTCGTTAGTAAGATATACTTTAGAAAGAAGAGTATAGTAGTAGTATACGTGCACACGCATACATATATTTGTATCGCATTTTCGATTTTTTATCTTTTGTTTATTACATCTTGACAGAATTTTCATTATTACTTAAATAACGGAACTTGGGAAAAAAAAAAAAATATTACCACATGCACTCTTCAAGTAACATTATTGTAAAAAGTAAATTATTGTAAAATTTAGTATTAAAATTTCTAATCTTATATTACTTGTATATATTAGAAGTTATTTTCAGTTTAATTTATTGAAAAGCATAGAATATGTTACGAAATGCAATAAAGATCGAAATAAATAATATCAAAATTAATTTCATAGATATTAACAGCTCGGCAAATTATACTTTACATTCACGCGATTATCTCATATTTATTAAACATTAAATTACTGCGCGAATATTGTATTGATAGTTGTACCTTAAATCAAATCATATCGTTGTAATTGTGTGCTAATAATAATAAATTGGCTGTAAAAATGAATGATAATAAAAAATTAAGCAATTGGCACAAAATTGTACTTAATTTTTATACATTATTTATTATCCTGTAAAGACTGTAATAATCTCACGAATATTAATCCAAGCCACAAGCATCTTAACGGTGATGATAAATAGTTGTAATTTAAAATTCTCGGAAAATGAAAGTTTTATATACTCCCTCTTCATTCTAACCAATCGTTGCATTAAATTCTGAATATAATTAAACGGCAAGATATTTTTGAAAAATTGTCTAGAACTTTTGCCTGCATAAGCACTTATTTACATTGTTGTAACGTGATGTTTAAACGATAATATAAAATACAGTTTCAATGCACCTCCCCCCAACGAAGCTAAACAACATAAAATCGTGGACAATGAGATTTGCCCCTCACCGTTGATGACACGACATACCAATGTGAATTAGTGTTTGCATTCTACATGAGCATTATCACTTTTACATTGTTCAATGAATTTGTTTCATTAATGGTAAAAACTGCCAAATGTTGCATTTACTTGAATTTTTACATTAAAAATAAAACTAGTTTCTAGTCTCCTTACAAAGCGCGTTTGTAGATTAGGGGAGAATAGTTTTATTCGTTTATTTATTTTTTATTATTTTTTAAAAAATTTTTTTCTTCATCTACATTCTTCATCAACATACAGATTACAAGATATCGTAGTGGACCATCCTATTTTGAAAACATTTCCTTAAATCCTAAAAATATCGCACGAACTATCAAGAAATAACATTACCTTCCTCACCATTGAGCTCCACACTTTATCTCGATATATAAAATCAATACTTTTAATTACGATGTATTCAACAATTCAGAGATTAGATAATCATAATTCAATAACCTATATTGAAATTTCTAAAAAAATCTATCAATTGTCCTCGGCTTCAACGTTCACGCCCGACAAATGAACAAGTCTTTCATAATTTCGATAAATATACAAAAACTTTTCCTTTCCACTCGGCTATTTTTATACAACTCCCAATGAGATATTTTTGATAAGCCCACTGCTACATATGCAGCAGCAGTAGCAGCATTCGAATGTGTGAGTCAACGTGACGTAAATAGCTTTCTTCCCGCGCGCAGACCATTAATACTTTCTACGGAACTCTAAAATCCAAAGTCGTCGTCGTCGCCGTCGTCGTCTTCGTCGTCGTCTTCGTCGTCGTCGTCGTCGTCGTCGTCGTCGTCGTCTTCGTCATAATCGTCATAATCGTCATCGTTGGTCCTTGTCATCGTAGGCCATCCTGCATTTACCACTCCAAACACGAACAAGGTGTTTGTTTTTCCCACCGCATCCTTATCGCCTCGCACAATGAGCAATGCCGGACGCGACACGTCAATGCCAATAACACGCTCGGTGCGACAAATGACGACACGGCTAAGGGCAGCGAGACAATGCACCATCGCCAATATAATCATCGTCAAAATTTGTTTACAGCGTCGTGCTGGTCGGGCCCTTATCGCATGAGTCTCCTCAAGCCCAACGAGGCCCGATAATCGTAGAATGCCGGCTGGCTAGTAATTCTTTTCGCATAAACGGTAAAAACGGCATCCTGACTCAACAGTGCGCTGGACTCTACTCTCGGTTGGCTACGGTCAACAGCTTCTCCCACCATGAGCATCGTCGATGATCCGATCGATGCTGACTCATAGTGAGCCGAGCCTCGGAGGTCGACGTCTGCCGTCGTCCGAGCATCGCGCGCGCGCACGTACGAAGCGAACAATGGTCGGAGCGAGCGGACCCCCGGGCACCTCTGGTGATCGAGGGCATCGGAACCTCGACTCGGCGTTGGTCCCCCCGTCTCAGGGTAATTGCATAAGTACGCCGAGGAGCCCTATCGGCGGGCACATCGAACGAGAGCGCCGACGCGCCTCGACGCGCTTATCTCCCGGTATCGCTCCTATCGTCGATCGCCCTCCTATCGCCGACCCGATGACGGACGCTCGGCCGGAGCTCGGATCTCAGTCGAGGCCGGGAAGCATCAGACACGCCAATCTGTCCTGCCACTGGTTTCCGCGGCGTCGGGGAATATCCGGGGCCGATTATGTAAGTGGGCGGGCCTGCGCCGGCGGCTACGACGTCCTCGCGGGCTTTGCAATGACGTCGGGCTCGAGCGGGCGCTCGTGACTCGCGGTCGGAGGACTTGGGGAATGCGCGGCAGGACGAGGGTCCGCCGCCCTCCCGGCCAGCACTGACCGGCTCACTTATTCGCGCCGATAAAGAGACACGCGGTGTGATGGACATGAAGATCGTCCACGTGTCCATGGGCGAACGCGCCAAGCTCTACTTCCTCTCCCTCGTCTACGGCTGGTACTTGATTGTGCGACGGCTTATGCGATGGGCCTGGAATCCAAATCAGTTCTTCCTGCTTCGACAGAGGGATAATCCGCCCTCGTGCCTGGTTGACAATACCCTCGGCACCCACTCCTATGTCAAGCTCAGGGTAAAGTTCCTAGACTTTCTTACTCGCTACTTTCTTAAAAATCGGCGCGCCACTCGTGCTACGATTTGTAATTAGCGGTCAGACTTTCTTCGTGGCTCATGCGGTCCATTCGTCACTCCTCTAGGATTTGCCAGCAATTGAGATTTATAAGGATTAAAGTTAGGCGAGAGATCGAATGGACCGAGCCGTTCAATTCGACGGTGATTGGGCGCTGCGAGGATAGTGCACGTATTCGTTATCTCTTAACGGAATAAGAAGCAATTTCCAAATAATCGCGTTCAAGCGTAATGTTTAATTCCAACGTGATAGATTTAAAAAACGCTATCCGATTATATTTATGATCGCTGAGGGCGAGCGTACAACAAGTAGTTGTAAAAAAAAAAAAAAAAAAAAAAAAAAAAATAAGAAATTTCGTCTTTGGTTTAGGTGGGAGGTTTTTTTCTTTCTTTCTTTTTTTCTTTAAATATTTTATTTATAAATATTTTAAATATTCTTCACGGGCAAAGTTTAGATATTCGACGAATGTTTGACCTCCGATAGCAAGTGGATACTTAACACACATTAACATGATATTTAAAAGCGTTATCGAGCATCGGGCGATTGATAGCAGCGCTTATTTATTTTCAGCCAGTTTGGCAGACGCGCACGAAGGGTAGTTGGGTATATCCTTTTACAAAGACGATAAATGTCGCCAATTTTTAGATAATCGTGCAATGGAGTAGCGATTTTAAATGTAAGGATCGATTAAAGAAAATGTGTTTGTTAATCTATTATAAAGACAAAAATATGTTTACTCGGGCGTCGAAGAGTTAGCGGCTAAATAGTCTCAGTCTTCGTTAAAGATAAACAAACACAAATCAACTAGAGATAATTAGGATAGCGCAACTCTGCTTTATTAAATATTTAGAGAATATTTATGACATTATTTGTGATTAGAGAATGGATTGTTTTCTTTTCAATCTTATCAAGTACAATCGATGTATTGTTGAGTGTCATATCAGCATCTCTATTGGCATTCGAATTGTTCCCGTTAAAATTCAACTGTTCAACGTCGTGTGCCTAATTAACACAAAATTGTCGTATATGTATAATCGATCCATAAAAATTACATTGCACACCAATTTATGTACAATTCTTCTTTTTATTTGACGTGGATTCGACAATGCAACGAGCATGAAAATCTTCATAAAAGCGTGAAAGTCAAGTCGGTCAAATCTTATTGACTATGTCGGATTGGCTAACTTTAGAGAAAAACTTGACATTTATCGATACTTTTTCATTTTTTAGGGTATCAAATTTCATTACGTAGAAGCAGGCTGTAAAGAACATCCGCTTCTTTTGCTTTTACATGGATTCCCAGATTGTTGGTTATCGTGGAGAGAACAAATTCCAGTTCTTTCACAACATTACAGGTATGATACTATTTATTATTTAATTATTGCTTTTATTTCAAGCCATTTTATTTCAAGGTTATATATTAAAACAACGACAACGACAACGACAACGACAACGGCAACGACAACAAGAAGAAACAAACGAATTTTTATTAACTCGTATTAATCAATTATTATTAAAAGAATAGTTCTATTAATATTGTATTGTCAGAAAAAATATGTTTAATCGTGTAATTTATACCAAACGTTTGATTATTAGTTTAATGATAAAAGGATGTTAAAATTTGTATCGGCTATCTTCAACGAACAATACAGAATAACCGATATTTTACACAAATTTTACCGGTTACAGCTCGCGATACTCATTGTTATAAATTTATTTTTACTTTACGAAGTGTGACTAGTGTCACGAGTGCCGATCGTTTAAATTTCTTAATTATATTTTACGGATTAAAGAACATGAGTAGAGAATAGTAGTTTCAGACAATTTATTCTGAACTTTGGTCATTTTATAGCAAATGAAACGCGATACAATTATATTTTCACTATTACACTCACTTTAATCCATTTTCACTTTACGAATCTCAAACAATCTATAAATAATAGTGTGCACATTGCATTGATTTCGAAAAACAAAGGAATGTATTAAAAAAATGTGGATAATATTAATAACACACAAATGGTAAATGTAAACGCTCGATTATTAATGGATTATATATTAATAAGTTTACATGAGAATTAATATTCATGAGTCATCCGAATCATTATCATCGAATCATGATAATAATTATTCTTCCTGATTTAACATTGAAATGAGAATAGCCTCGTGTCTATCGGAAAAATTCTTCTTTTTGCAAAATTGTCATCTAGACATTGTGTTAAAATACACGAAGTTACATATGAAATTCACTTTTTGATAGTAATATTTTTTACTTTATAACAGAGTTGTAGCATTGGATTTAAAGGGTTTTGGCGATAGCGATAAGCCTTCGAACAAACGCTCCTACAAGATAGAGACTCTCATTGACGAATTGAAGCAATTTATTTTTGCACTGGGAGCGAAAAACTGTAGTATAATCGGTCACGATTTAGGTGGTCTTTTAGGATGGTACATGACTGCAATACACGATGATGTAATATGTAGATTTATTGCCATTTCTAGTCCACACCCGAACGTTTATTGGAATGGTAAATCTGGTGAAACTGTTTTCAGTCGCAAGTAAGTTTACTTTCATATCAATAAGCAAAGATAAATGATGATTTAGCATTTGATTGGTCGAGTACAATAAATTGATCGATAACATCGATAACAAATTTAATAACGCAAATGAATAGCTTTCTAATTAATGCAATTAAGTTTTGATGTTGAACAAATCGCTATAGATGATTATCGAATCATATATATGTATGTATTTTCAAGTTTTTAGGCCATTAAATCTAAGAAGATGAACAATTTCTTAATGTGAATAATTTAATTATATATTTTAGATGGATGCATTTTAGTAGGCTACCATTTCTACCAGAAATAGATGTTTTAAAAGAAGATCTTTCAGTAATCAATGACACGTTTAAGCATCTAAACAAAAGCGAACAGGAAAAAAAGAATGTTTACGTTGAGGCTTATAAATACACCTTCAGCAGAAAAGGTATATACTTCCATTATTATAAATATGCTTAATTTAACTTTGATTAAGCATTCACAAACAATATGCATACATACATACATACATACATACATACATGCATACATACATACATACATACATACATACATACATACATACATACATACATACATACATACATACATACATACATACATACATACATACATACATACATACATACATACATACATACATACATACATACATACATACATACATACATACATACATACATACATACATACATACATACATACATACATACATACATACATACATACATACATACATACATACATACATACATACATACATACATACATACATACATACATACATACATACATACATACATACATACATACATACATACATACATACATACATACATACATACATACATACATACATACATACATACATACATACATACATACATACATACATACATACATACATACATACATACATACATACATACATACATACATACATACATACATACATACATACATACATACATACATACATACATACATACATACATACATACATACATACATACATACATACATACATACATACATACATGCATACATAAACGTGATATTTATATATAATATATATATAATTTTGATATTTCTAGCTACTGATTACAAAAATATAAAATTATTGTTTATATTAAAATTAGAGGAAGACTTTTTTTTTGTTGTTGTTGCTGCTGATATTTTTATATAATATTGAACTTCAAAATCCCGTAAAAAGCAATTTTTAACTTAATCTTTAAACGCTCAACAAGTTAAAGTATTAATATACAAGTGCATAATTTTTTACGAGCTAATATATATATATATATATATATATATATATATATAAATTATATATTTACTAAAAGCGGTGATAATGACATACTAAAAGCGTTGATAATGACCATGATAATCAAATAAAATATTTTTAGAGGATTGGACTGGACCAATTAATTATTATCGAAATCTACCATACACGAGACTTGGCACAAATAATAATCAACAAATAGCCATAAAATCACTTTTAATAGTTGGAAATTCTGATCCTTCTGTTTCATTAGAAAGTATTGTACAAAGTACTGAATATGTAGAGAATTTTAATGTTAAAATTGTCTCGGAAGCTGGTCACTTTCCACATCAAGAGAATCCCAAATTAGTGAACGAGGCAATTATTAAATTTCTCGTTGGTATGTAGATTTTTCATTGATTAACAACAGTCAATACCATTAACGTGTTTAATAACAAAATTTTAATTATAAAATTATACAAATTGCGCAATTTCTCAATATCGTATATTGCAACTATACGAATAAAATTTTGTTGTATAAATAAGCACTTATAATATTCCAAACTATTAATCTATTATTATAATTGCATTAATAATACAAACTATTTATATTTAAGGTTATCCAGGTCTGGAGAAAACACCATCTAAAAATATTGTCTCTTCGTGGTTAGGATCTTTCAGCACCACTGTGATGTATGGGAATCAGATGTTTAATGCAGTGCATAAAAAAACTCATGGAGTTGTTAATGGTTTTCCGAGTAAAATGCTTTACTTAGGACAGACAAACACGTAGAGATAAATTGTAATTTAAGAAGAAAAAATCGGTTATTGGAAATATTAAAAAAAAACAAAAAACAAAAAAACAAAAAAAAAATATTATGTACTACTTTTAAGGTATACAAACTATGATTATAATGTATAATTCTACCTTGTTCTTGGTGAATATATCAATTAAAAAAACTATAAAATCGAAATAGGAATTTTAAATTACGAATTACAGTGTCATTGTAGTTATGAAATTAATTTCTTGATCATACATAAGTGTAAAATAGTTTTATAAATTCAAATCTAAGGAATTTTTACTATTATAGCGTTAATTAATCTATTACACTGTATATTCATATGTTTAATCTAAGACAATAATTTTGTACTAGTGGTAAAGATAGTGATTAGTGGCTTTTTCATGCTTACATTTCTTTGTACTTTCGATTTATTAAATAGCAAGTTACTAACAAGTATTTGAATTAAATATCAAGAATTAATGATACATTTTCAATAATTAGTGATAAATATGTAACATAAGCCTTGGCTGAAAATTTATGGAATAAGAGTTGTGAACAACATTATAAATTATTTATAAAACTCCTAAAATATATGATGCATTCCGCAACAAATATTTATGATACTAATTACTCTTGATTCTTATTATTTAAAATTTAATTGATTCATTGACATATATTTAATAATTAATGTTAAATACTATCTATCATTAATATTTATTTAATTGAAAGATATGAAAGTAATAGCAAGTAATGTGATTATAAATGTCGATTTAAAACAAAATTGAAAATGTCACTATCCTATGACGAATTAATAATAATGTGCAAAGACTGTTTGAAATATAATTGCGTGTAATTTATACTAAATTATAATAAAAACTTAAATAACTATATTATGATATGTAAGTATTTATTTTTAATAAACATCAGAATTGTTATAATAAATATACATAACTTTCAATTAAAGTACCTATTGGAATTTCATGTTTAAATATATAAAAATACTATATAATCTATAATGGATAAAATTTCATGTCTTACAATTACACTTAATGATACAAAATATTGTATATGCAAAACCAATAAATATAAATAAAATGTGAATATTTGTTACAGGATGTGAGTTGATTGTTTGACGATTAATGTCAATTTATAAAAATGTTGTCAGTCTGTTTATGACAAACGCTTATTCAACAAATTAATGAAAATCATTGGTCGGCAAGAAGTTTCAAGGAGTATGTTTTCCGGACGTTTTCCTACACATATAAAAATTTCATATTATGATTTGTATAATTCTAATCTAGAAAGTCGACAATCGCTACTCACTTTCCAAACTTCTCACCATCTTCGATCGTTTCTGGTAAGTCACAATTCATTGTTTCTGGTAGCAATAAACAAAGACAAGCTCCGATTATCAATCCAATTCCAAATAAAAATGGTGGCAGCCACGGCTGTATATTACCCTATTAACATTAAACGTTGCTAATCAAAATTTCGTTAAATGATAAGTAAATTTAAATTATTTCAACGATGTGGAATATTTATCCAATAAATTAGTAATAAAAATATTAGATTAATAATAAATATTTGGAGCTGTTTCAAATAAAAATTTTTTAGAGACTGTAGAGAAAATTTATAAAATTGTTGATAAAGAGACGTGACGTTCGATTAGTTAAAAATATCCGGCGAATTAGCTACGCATAAAATCAATAAAATTGATAAATAATCTACATATTTCGCAATCGGAGAGTATCAATTGCCAAATGGGCAACAAAAAAAAAAAAAAAAAAAAATAAATAAATAAATATAAAAATTAAGTCCAATTAGTCCCTTCGACAGTATCCACTTATATTTTTTGTAAGAATAAATTCATTCAATAAAGTCATGTAAACATCGTAAAATAATGAAATTCCGTGTTGATTACCATAGTTGCGATATAAGGTGCGATCATACTGCCGATTCTGGCGCAGGTGCTGCCGGTGCCGACGCCAACATTCCTCACCACCGTGGGAAATACCTCGCTGCTGTAGAGATAAATAGTCGGGAAGGATATGGACATGCCGGCGATGCCAATTGCTGCCAAGGTCACGCGAATCGTCGGGTTGTCGAACAGCATTATCAGGAGGAGTACAGTCCCGGAGACTGTGCACGCACCAATGAGGATGCGGAGTCGCGAGACACGAGATATCAGATAAAGAATGACAATTGTGCCAGGAATCTCGACCGCCGCTGCCAACATTTCCAAAAATCGATGGGTGTAAGAGGACTTTTCGTGTGGTCTATCCGAGATCTTCCCTCGCCCTCTCCGTCGCATTTAACTCTTAATCATAAATAGCATGTGCCCGAGAGAATAGCCAAGCACATTTCCACTTGCAACTTTAATGACACCATATGATTTAGTGAATTTTCTCACCGTTACAACTGTTGTTTATGTATAATGAAAAGCATAATATGGTTAAACTTTTTGCAAATCAATACGCGAAGTTCAATTCAATTTTCCTATGTTAAAACGATTCTATAGGGCATTAGTATTTTTAATCCACTCAATGACTAAAATAATCGAATAATCTACATTTCTTGTATTTTTCCATTTTTATTTACTACTCCAAACTATTTCAATAAAAATTCATTAAAACTCTGAATTATAAATGAGTATAAAAAAAATATTTTAAGCTTTACTTGTATCTTTCATTCGTTATCCTAGCTCGTTTCATATTCACATTTGAGATTGATTATTTAATTATAGAAATTAAATAAATAATAAAATTAAATTAGTGAGTAGAAATTGTGATTTATATAACTGAACTTTAGTATAAGGAATATTTGTACGTAGAATATATAATATATATATATATATATATATATATATATATATATATATATATATATATATACATATATACACAAAAGGATGAATATATAAGGTAAATTAATTTTTTATAATTTATATGATAAATTAATGAAGAATAAAAATTTTTTTTAATTCATTAAACTGTATTACTAATAGGATGCTGTTAATGCTAATAGGATAGAAAAAATGTACTTATTATTGGAATGAAAAAAATATTAATGATATATTAATCGATATATCACTTACGCTCATATATTTTTTATATATTTTTTACTTAATATTTTTTATATTTTTTACTTAAAATTTTCTAATAAACTATCTTATTGCTAATACTGTAACGAATGAAATCAATACAAAGTTAAAAACAATGCTCATGTATATTAAATCACAATATCGTGGTAAATTTGCAATTTAAATACATAAAATTAATATATCATTAACTCCGATGTTTAATCAAATATCATCTTGTTATTTTTATATAGAAGGATCATTCATATATTAGTAACTAATTGATAATCTTGAAATGATTTTTTTATACAAATAATCAATATTTAGCGTATGATAATAAAAAAGTTTCTGTTAATTTAAAATGTTGCTATCGGGAAATCGATAAATATAACGAATGCAGAAAAATTTTAATATTTGTAATTTATACTGGACATTATTAATTTAGAGTTTTACATGACATTTCTGTTTCACAATTAGAGTGTAAATAGCTTAGAACGTGATTAGACTAAAAATTAATAATATAAAAACAATTTAAATTAAATAAAAAATGTCAAAATGTGGATATTGTGCAGAAATATCAGATATTTCAAATATTTTGAGAACAATCGTATCTAATACTTGAAGTATATATAGTCAATATATATAGTAAATATAGTTATCTTAAGTATTTAAGAATATTATTTATAATTTTTAAATAAACAGCTCAATTGAAAAAGTATGAAAATAAATGTAGATAACATTTTTATGCTAAATTTCCCGTATCAAATGCAATACTTTTTAGAACATTGAATATTAATAGTTAATATCTCTTACTGCATGTAATCTATCGAATTAGTTAAAATAAAAACAAATCTGTTTTAAATTTAGAATTTTTATATACATGATTTTCTATAAATATACATCGTTTTATTAAATTATTAAGAACAAAAAATTAAATGAATAACAAAATTTCAAGGTATAATTTTGTATTTAAATCAACAATATATTACCCGATATATACATATATATATATATACACAACACACGCCCTGATATAAATGTATAAATATAGAAATGAATAAATATATACATGCACACGTGCATATGTAACTGCATATCTATGAATGCATGTATGCACGTACGTTCGTGTGCGTGCGTGCGTGTGTGTGTACGTACGTACGTACGTATGTATGTGTTTACTGATTCAAATGATTCATATATAAATATAACATTTAACGATAACTGAAATCATTATCAAATAATATTAGACAGCCCTTTTAAATAATGACCCCCAGCAAGATATTTAAATAGGAATTCACAGAATAATAATTTTCACAAATTGTTTGATTTGTTCCGATACTTTACTTTAACAAATTGAAAAACAATCAAACGAAAATTTGATGAACGGTTACAATTTGAAACAACGGATACTTATGATTTTCACAGATTGTAAAAACTTCAATAATGAACATATCTTATCGTGAGTGCATTGAAACATTCTATTAAAATAAAAAAAAAAAATGTTTTAGGTCCTTTGTTATTCCTTATTTATTTTTTATCATTATAATGTGAATAGCAATAGAAAAGTATATTTTTAAGTTTTTTTTATTTATCTTGCGGTTTTTGATGACAAAAGTGTATGTAACAAAATTAATAGCATTCACATTATTCGTTAAATTTAATGGAAAATAGAATAAATATCTTACAAATAACTTCAAAATTTACGTAAAAATATTAAACTTTTTAATGAAAAAATATTAAATATTTCTTATCTCTGCGTTTCACTTAGTTTTGCAGAAAAAACTTTTTTGTTAAATTTATATAATGAAAGTAACTTTAATGTACAAAACTCATTATATTACACGATTAAAAAACTTAAGTTACAATGTTTAATATAAAAATTTTCATTTATAATAAACTATTTTTATAATTATTATAACGTGAAATAATTTAAAATAAGATTTCTGGACGTTTTTTTCTTTTTATCTTTTAAAACCTATCGTAGCTTAATAATACATACATATTAATTAATCTAAGAATTTACATACTTTTCTCAAAATAAATTTCTACAAATAATACTGAATACTGAAATTAAATAATTCTATGTTATAAATGAAATTGAATATAAATAATTCTACATTTTAATAGAATAATTTGCGAAAGAAAAATAAATATTTCAGCTCTATAAATAGTTTTAACAGTAGCCGTTAATCCAAATCCTTTTATATGTTGACATATATATATATATATATATGTGTGTGTGTGTGTATAATTTATTGACTTTATTCAATTTATAAAAAATTACATAATAAATAATAAATTTAACGAAATATATAGCCTCTGATATACGTAGTGTAAAAATTTATAAACTTTTGGTGAAACATTTTGTATTACAATTAAAGGGTAAGTATTACCTGATACAGCCGTGTTAATAAAAATATTTCCATCTAGTTGACCCATATATTGGGCTAATCCAAAGAAGCACATTCCGCTGACAAACCAATTGACACACACGCAAATTGTTTTCACACGAAGATTTGGCGTTCGAAACAAATGAGTCACGTTGTACTTCTGGTCTTGATCACCTTGTAATTTCGTTTGACTGCGATGTTCATTAATTACCTCTGTAACGTTGCTTAAAGGAATTCTATTCTTCTCTGCGGCTTTAGTGAGAATAACTTCTGCATCGTTTATTTTACCAACCGCGAGCAACCATCTTGGTGATTCCGGAACAATCCTAAGATCGTTTTTAAAAAAAAAATTAACCATTGGAATACAAAAATATTAGAATAAATATGTTTATTCTCGCCGTGCAAGATATTTGTTATTTTTAGTATATAGAAACTTAAATAAGATATAAATAATGTTCATTTATAATTCTATCATATCTTAGACCAAGATATTTCATAAATAAAATCATCAATCGATAATAGTATATTTTTTAATTATTCAAGATCATATTTTCTAAAAAGATGCACGTTAATCAGAATTTATTGCATCACTTTTAAGTTAAGCATATATCAATCGGGATATATTTAAGTCACTTGTTCACCATCAACAGAACAGAGAGTGCTCGGCATTTATGGGATTCTATAGAAGTATTATAGAGCCATCGGTGCAAGTAATTTGTATTAAATAAATGTTGGAATATCCACTTACCAATAATACGAAAGTAAGAAAATCGGTGGTATAGAGACGGCCATTTGAAATCCATACCATGTTCGTGTCAAATAAGATATTAAGGGATTCAAAAGAAAGCCTATCAAGAAAGGTACGTGGAAGAGAACTGATAACATAGAACGCCATTTCGGACCCACAATTTCCATGACTGAAATTTAACATTAGCATATTAAATGAGCATTTTAAATAAAATTAAATTAAATTGGCATATTAAATTCAATGTTAATTTTATTGTGTATTGTGAAATTAAAATAGCTATGTATAAAAAAAAAGGAAATAATAATAATAATAAAAAAATTTTTTAAAATAAATAAAAATAACAACAACAAAATTAGATAAAATAATTGAAAACTTACGTAAAACGAAACTAACAAGCATAGTACCTCCAGTAGCTACGGCGGAAATAAATTTAAATGTTAAAAATAATTCGTACCATGGGGAGAATACAGTCAACAATCCGAACACGGATTGTAATAATATTGCAATCATCAAAGGAATCTTTCGTCCAATTCTAAAATCGCCAAATAAGGTATTAATAGATTAAGTGTATATTCACTTCGAAAAATTACTGTAATCATTCATCCTTTAATATTCAAGTATTTTACAACTTTTTCTTTTTACTAAATATGCTTTAAGCTTTCACGGATATTCAGAAATTTAAATGTTCGTGTCACTTATGATTAGCATTGGAATATCTATTAAATTTTCATTTTAACGCAATTTCTTGCTCTTTAAATTCTCAAAATTTTCAAGAAATTTTGTCAAAATTGTCGAACACATTTTTTTTTTTTTTTTTTTAAATAAATTTAAAAACAAAAAAAAAACAAAAAAAAAAGAAGAAAAAATTGTCTCTGAAATTTAGGAGAATTCATGTTTACACATGGAATATATTGTTATAACAATGACAATAATAATCGCGTGTCTTCTATCATACAAATTTTATTAAATATGAAATAATTTGTAACATTATTAAAAATTACAAAAATTATGCTGTTACATCAGCAAAAAAGCGATTTGACACATTCTATTAATATTTAAAAACATAATTTTATTTTATAAATCAACAAGTTTTCCTCTTAATAGTTCATATAAATAATTTAATGATTAAATATAAAAATATAATAATAAATGATCATTAAATGATAGTTAAAATAGCTTAAATCGTTTATCGTATTATCTAATAATAAAGTCTCATTGTTTCATGCTTTAAGGACAATAATAATAATAGCTTCGATTAAGTTTCAATTATTGAAACTTCATATTATACAATTTTGGAATCATTATATAATAAAATATGATAATATAATAGTAATGTAATGATGTAATAACCCTTGTCATTTTATTATCAATTTCACATAATTTGAAATATAAAAAATTATTAAGCATTATTCAATGTAACTTTTATTTTTCGAGCAAATTTTTTTAATTTATCGATAAACTACTATTTATTTTTATAGAATTATTACTTATATAGCTGCGATATTAAAAAAAAAAAAAAAAAAAAAAAAAAAAAAAAAAACGTAACATTGTTATGTTATTGATATGACTAGTTGGTAATTATGTTAAATGAAGCATTTAAATTTTTAACTATCGTTTCGGTAGAATTTTTTTTTGTTTTTTGCAATTACTGAAATAATATTTTCTTGAAGTTCTACTTTATTATACTTTGCGCTTAATGATTAGTTTTGAAAATATTCCATGAGAATTGCATGATTTATTAAAAAAAAAAAAAAAAAAAGGCTAAAATCAAGAAATAATATTAATTAAATAATATAATTATTTTAATACTTATATATATTTGCAAGAATTGAAAAATGAAAATACATAAATATCAATTTTACAATGCAGTTAAATGTATTATTTATAAAATACCAGTAAATGAAAGGATTAACGAGTATAATATTTATATAGAATATAAATTTACCTGTCCGACATTGCGCTGAAAATCATATTACCCATTAAGACTCCTAACATTGTACACGATTGAGCAAAATTTGCGAGTTGTTCTCTGTCACATACCAAATTCCACTGAAATGTCATAGTTTAGTTATATTTAGTATATAAAAGAATAATAATTCATATAATCAAACTAGTTTTCTAAATAAGTAAATCACTCGTTTATTAGTTCGATAAAATAAGTATTGGCTTTTAAAATCTGGCATTAAGTGGATAAAAAAAACCATGTATATATATATATATATATATATATATATATGTATTTATGTCATTGAATTATCAATTATTTAAAATGAATGAGTTATGTAACATTGCTATCACATTAACTCGGCAACTTAACCGTTTCTGTTTTTGTTTTATTAGAAAAGAATTTATTTCTGTAATACAAAAATCATAAACTATAATATAATAATTATTATTGGCAAATATGAGACTGGACTGATGATTAATTACCAGAAAGATATCAAATAATTTCGTATTTGATAACGATTTCAAGGTTGAAATATAATATGCAATTGCGTAACATCGTGATTATAAGTTCTGTCCCAACGATTAATTGTCCGTGCCAATATGTGCAAATTAAAAAATGTCAAATCCAATTTCGAGATGAGAAACTCCGCTTAATTCTAACGCAAACAAAATGATTAAGCAACCTGTGTAATTATGGTCTCGCGGAAGATGCTTCTGTCGTAATGGAAATCCGTGCATTTTTCCATACTGCCATTGCCTACATTGACGTGGCATCTTCTGAACATCGTCTCATTGTCGGCGGCAATTGGCGAGATGCAGGTGAAGTTCACGGGCGGTGCCAGGAAAATTATCGATAGCTGATGCCACGCGACCGGGAATTTTACGAGGGAGAGAGCTACGGCGATGACGATGTGCCAGGGTCCGAGGGTTCCCATGGCATTCTGCACGAGATCCATAGGGCCTTTACCTGCCAATTGCATACAGTTTTTACTTTTTTTGCCCTTTTATAGATCAAATATATACCAAATAGAGATAGAACAATGTAAATTTTTAATTAATTAATTAGAATTTAAATTAACGCCGGATTAACATCTGCACAACTAACGTTCCATAAAAATTATATTTCATTTAAATAAACCTGAAATAATAAATAATACAATTTTTTATTCAACATACCCTCTAAGCTAATTATACGAAAGCATACCATAATTATTCACAATAACTGCATTTAACCTCGATGTTCGTTTTAAATTATATACGATTGGGAAATCCGAATAAAATTTTAAATTCATAATTCTCATAAATTCTCGAGATCATTGGTGCCTTTGTGGTTTTACTCAAAATTATTTAACTGGAGAATCGATTGGTCTCATATACTGTTATTTTTATTCTTTGTGTTACGTACATTTATAATAATAATAATAATAATAATAATAATAATAACAACAACAACAACACCGAAGGCTAAGTCTAGAATAACTTCATTCAATAGAAATATAGTATTGGCATTTTTTTTAATGTCATCAAGATGAAACTTTTTCATTTTTCTGTTAAAGTATATAGTTCAATGATGATTTATATAAAAATTATGTTTTCATAGAAATATTACATATTATTATTTTTTCTCAATAATTTTTAATCTAAAATGTATCATAAACTGGATCGAACATCACTATTAATGTATAAATTAATTGACTACAGCATTTAGTACATTTACAATAAGTATTTTTATAATAATCAGATGATTAACATTAATTTTTTTTTCTCGCAGATTTTAATATAGAAATGTAGACGATAAATTAATTATTTTTATTTTTTCAAAACTCATTATTGGCAGGGCATTTTTAACTATTCAAGCTTAACTGACGAAACAAACATTTAGTATCAAATATTCGATATAAGTAATAAACATATATCAAACACCTCGATTTAACATCAATTTTACTCTTAGTAGTGCACTCTAAATAGTAAATCACCTTAAAGATTTATAAATATATTTTAAAGAAGCTATTAAATACAAATTATAAGTTAATTAGTTAATTATGAATGATTAATTTTGTATAATCCAGTAGCTTTTAAAATAAACAATTTAATTGATTTGAATATTATTATCGGTAGTACTGGAAAAAACAAAATTTCTTCAATCTATCTCTATTTTAGTTTTTAGTAATATATTAATAAATTCGATCTATTTTTATGTTATGATACAAAAAAAAAAAAAAAAAAAAAAAAAAAAAAAAAAACTCTGGTCGGGCACAGATAAATTTTTATCATTTTATAAATAATGAAAAATATGTATTTTATTGACCTTATTTTATTATGCTATTTACAATTTAAAATAAACATTTAAAGTAATTATATTTTAATAAGAAATTCACATAGGAAATAGACATTAAGATTACGATACAATTGCTTAACTAAAAAGAATTTTTACTAAATATTCTAAACGGTTTTAACGAATATTCGGCTGTTATAAGTAATGGAAAAAGTACATGCAACTTATATGTTATACAAACTATTATACGTAAAATGATTTTGATTTATTTTAAAATCCATTAATTAAAAAAATAGCAAATCACCATACCAATATGTAGAATAAAACATTATTTATCAACGTTATTGTAAAACTTTGAAACATAATTCTGTGATATAATAATGGTATAATAATAATTGTATACAAAAATTCTTGGAAAATTTTTAACGCTCATTTTACATCAAAGACAAAGTAATAAAATTTATGCATGATATAAATAATGAATCGATGTGGTTTTAAAATTTTTAATTTCCATATTTCTTTATATTAACACTGATTTTTAACAAGTTTAACCGTTAAAATTCCAAATAACTTAGGATAAACGTAAAATAAAAACACTATCTAATCTTATATAATCTATTATCTACAATAAAATAGTTATACATTGATAAATTTTCATAACAAATTAAGTACTAATTCGAATGTACTTATATCATTGTATTATTAATATTATTGTAATATTAATATAATTTTTTATATTTTCTTTTTATTTAAGAGATAAAATATATTTAACTATAACATGTTCGTTATATTCCTATCAAATTCAAAACTAAACATTTATTTTTCTAATAAGTATAAGTAAACACTATAAAAGAGTATAAAACATGCGAAACATTAAATTATACATTATATTCAAATGACAGATTATATATAATTTGTATAGCATAAAAATAATTGAATAAAAGCAATAAAGAAAGATATGCAAATGAAAAAAAAAAAAAAAATAATAGATATATGCAACGATAGAATTTTTTCTGCGTAAATTCAGTTCATTTTTAAATATAAAGGATCTAAATTAAACATAATTATAGGCATCGGTAATTTGAATTTGATAGCAATTGTACGATTATAAATGATAAATTAAAAAATAATTTAATTATTAAAATACTGTTAAAATAAGCAAATCCTTAAGAATTAACAATTATAAATTATATAAATATTGTATAAATAACTAAATTAATCAAAAAAAGGTACATGAAATTTTACTTAGTAAATATTTGATAATTAAAGCTGTAAAAGCTATTAATAGGCAAAATAATAAGAAATGCAACGATGTGAATATACAACTGATGTTGAAAGTTGATGAATGATATATGTTGTGTTTATCCAATGTGCTATTATACAAATAGAAAGTAAATTTAGATAATTATAAATTATATATTTTTACAAAATAAATTTTTTCATAGTAATCTAAGCAATAAATACAGTGATACAATTAATTTATAATTTTATGAAATATCTATAAAAAAAATTAATGAATAAACACTCTGTATAAATAAATAAATAATATAAAAAATAATATTAAAAGAAAGATGTAAAAGTAATTTTAAATCAAACATCTGTACATTTGTACGTATGAATTTTTCAAATATATTTGTATTTTTGTAAATTATATATATATATATATATATATATATATATATATATGAAAGAGAATGTGAAAAATGAATAAATTTTCTAATAAAATCAAAGCTGAACCTCGTAATAGGCAAAATTAAATTATAATATAGCTTTTACAGCTTTAATATTTACTTGGAGTGAAAATTATAAAAGTTGTAAAAATTAAGTACATTATGAAATATTAAATTTTATTATGTTTATTAAATCAAAAGCTTAAATAATAATAATAATAATAATAATAATATTAATAATAATAATAATAATAATAATAATAATAATAATAATAATAATAATAAGTATGTGTTAATATTATTATAATAAAAGTATGCATTATCGATTGACAGTACTCTACTGTAATTAAATAGTGAAATAATTTATTATAAAAATCTTAATAAGAAATTAATAAAATTACTATTGATCTTTATGTTATAAATAAAAAATACTTATAAGCATATAGAAAAAATTTATTTTCATTTGTAGAAAAAATAGACTTTAAATTTTAAACAGTAGATAAAGAATGAAATTTTATTTCTAACATTAAAATTTACTAAATGTTCATAACTATAGTTGTATAGTATTTATAAGAATGAACTATCAGTCAAATGTCAAATATGAAGTAATTGTCCCAACGATTGCTTAATTTAATAATCTACAAAGTGGAATTATTTTTAAAATTAATATTATTGCTAATCTATTTCTAAAAAAGAAAAAAAAATGAAAGAAAAGTAAAGAAAAAATAGAATTGTAATATAGTCATTAATATTGTAATATACTACATTAAATATATATTAAATAAGTAATCTGAGTTGACTTCAAAAGTCTTTAGTTTAATTTAGTAAAAAGTTTAATTTAGAACGATTTTTACAAATGAATCATTAATCTATTTAATTAATTATCAAAATACTTAAAAGAATTTGGCGATTTTGCAGCCGGTAATTTTGACATACAAAAATATAGTAAATATATAGTGAGTATTTGAAAATATTATGCATAATTAATGGTAGAAAAAGTGGAATATGTAAAACGAATCTTTCATTTTATGAAATTAAAACAAAATATACTATTTAAAAATTGTTATAGATGATTTGAATTTTTTCAGGAAATTTTAATTCCTTACAAAGCGCAATGAAGCTAATATATAATAGTTACGCTCAACTTCTTAAATGTCTGAACGGTAAATATATTTGGTAAGTCGCAATGCTTTGTATAAGTGTAATGTTAAAAGTGTAGAGCCGTTAAATTACTAAGCAGTTACGGTACGAATAAACGATATACTACTAGTTCAATGCATTTACTAATTATAAATACGAAATTCCATTGCGTAGCATAGACTATTGCTAAAGTTTAACAAATATTAAGAAGTACAGGCAGATTAACAATGTCAAGAGATGGATTATTTTTTTTTTTTTTTTTTTTTTTTTTTTTTTTTTTTTGAATTTTTTACGTTATCTCTTGGTATCTTGAAAATAAGAATTTTCATTACTTTTTGAAATTACGAAAGGTTTAGCATTGTTGCTTTAATAATTGAAAATGTAGAGCTTATAGGCATTAATAAAGTCTTGTTCGACAAGACAATTTCCCGACAAGCGACAAGCGACAAGCGACATTGTAATTAGATTTTTTAATTTAGCTTAAAAATTTTACATTATATTTACAATGAAAATTATCTTTCGTTAAGCATAGATTTTATCAATAAATATTTTCCCCCACTTAAGCGTCGAAAACTCATTTATTTTAAGAGATGTAATATTAATTTCTTTCTTTTTTTAAAATGTGTTTTCTTATCCATATACTTAATTGCAGCTATTACAATGAATTCCGCGAAAGAATTTTAATGCAGAGGTCCGTCCGTCTATCCTGTTACGCTTTAATTATTATAAGAACAAAATCGTAAATCCACGTAAATACTCAATAATAAGCCGAGGAAGAAGAAAAAAAGATGAAAAATATTTCCCAATGATTTCTAATACTATTACGAATGTCTTATGACATTAAATTGTAAATGATAAATTTAAACCGATTGAAATAATTTAAACAATTTTTGATGTTTCTTATATTATCAGCATTTTATTAAGTCGGGTAATAAAATTATTTACCAAATGCTGCAGCTTACGAGTTCCATAATTTATATGATTATTTAACATAGTCACGTGATTATAAATTTATTTTCCGAAATAATGTAGCGCAATATTGGTGAATAATACTTATATGTAATCTGGTCTTCTTGCGTATCCAAGTATAAACGTGCTCCGTTATCGGTTATCAAGGTATCAAATATTAACATTAACGATATCGTCGTTCATAAAATTAATTAGTAAATAAATATACGGGACTCGCAAATTCTTTCGGCGCACTGCATTACACTCCGAAAATAAACAACGATCGAGCATTGGTCTTATAGCGCGTCCCCTACTCATCGCAATTTATCCCTGGCCCTCTCGCAGCCCTCGCAAGGCCAATATAATGGGCCTGACGAGAAGTCCCCGAGGCTTTTGAGTCGCGCGAAATGTCCGAACGAGTGTGCCCGAGCCCGGCGGTCAGATTGCTAAAATAATGAGCCTGAAAGGTACGGCATAAGAGACGGAAAGCAGAGAGACCGCGAATGGCGATGGACGAGCCACAGCGTCGTCGAGGATAAACGGGCGTCGAGTCTAAAATCCCAATGAATCCGATACCCACGACCGGCGAATGATGCAACACTCGAGGCGCGCGGTCGACGTAAATTTAGATCGCCCCTCGTTCGTCCGTCGCGAGCTTCGAGAGTCTCCTTCCCCTTGCGCCTACCTCTGCCTGATTTATCCTGAATCCTTGTCTCCTCTGGGTCCTCCTCCTTCGGCTCCTGCATGTCGAGCTGCGCTGAGCGCTGGGGACGGTGTGCGCGTGGAAGGTGCCGCGGGAGTCGACTGAGCGCCCAGCCGGCCGCCTTCCATGGCTCGACTCGCGCCGCGGAACCGCGAGCGCCGGGGGGATGAGTAGGGCAGGGCAGAGGAGGAATAGAGGGGAACGAAAGCCGCAAACACGTGCGTCTACGCGGTCCCAGCGACTCTTTTGCCTCTCGAACCAGTTCCTTCACGTTGATCGTGTCTCTCTTCTTGGCTCTTCGACAAAATAAGAGCAGCGGGAATTTAGGTCCCCTCCCACTTATCACGCGCGATCGTTTGTTCCGCTGCTCTCTGGACGATGAGGCTGCTGGTGTTTTTTGCCGGACGTCAGCGTCATTCTGCAATCCGGAACTCGCCTCACCAACTCTCGTCCGTAACAATTTTCTCCGCACTCGTCGCTTCTTTATCGTATAATGCGACCAAATTACAACCCCAAACAATATAAACACAGCTATATATGGTTATTAGACCTATGGCATTATTGCCTTAGTATTCGTTAATGTCACGTTTCTGGCTGCATTTTTTTTTAAAGCGTCTGTTGTCTGTCTCAAATGATGAAGCGAGGTTTCCGTCATATGAGGAATTTGGTTGTTGGTAATGAGTTCAAAGTTGTTTGAAACTCTAATCAATTAACGTACTTTTGCCGTTTATAAGGAGATAATTAAACGTGACGCTGGAAAGCCTTGTGGGGCCAAGCGCTACGGACCGCAAGTCTAAAAAGATGGTAGGTAGTGTTCACGCGGATGCGAGTATTGCAAAAATGATCAGCCGATGGTGCAATGTTACATCGCGAGTGCTTCGCGATAGTATAAGCATACGTGAAAACACATACGCATGCAATTATTCAAGGGCGATTTTCGCTCTCATTCGATAATCCGCCCAATGATGTCTTGTTCCAGTCTTTAAAAAGTAATTTTAATGCCGGTATTGGTAAATAATGTCGCAGTCCTATGCTTTCCAAATATTTAACGAAAACACTGAGGCAACATCAACATTAAATTTAAACGAATTAAAAACAACAGCAAAACGAAAGCAAAGAAAAAATTTTTACCAAAAATTGTATATATAATTGTGTGCGTGTGCGTGTGCGTGCGTGCGTGTGTGTGTCTTTTTACGACAGCTTACACTTAATAATATTTGCAAAATATAGATATGTCACGAGACTTATTTAAATATGACAGATTGAAATTTTAGTTTATTTTAATTATTAACATTCGATCAAAGGTCATTTTTTTTTTTTTTTTTTTTTTTTTTTTTTTTTTTTTTATAATACATTTATATTTTCGATATTTGCTTTTTCGATATTTTAAAAATATTATTCTGTATATTATAGATGTAAAAAGTGGGTAATTATGATATTAAAGTTTATATTACATAACTCTTAAATTTGTAAAATATCGTTTATTATAAATAGGCTCTCAAATCTTTATTTACATCATTATTGTTGTAAGAATAAGGCGCAATGTCAGTAGAAGGAAAAAATTAAAAATATAAATTGTGCGCCATATTTATTTAACTATCGCGAGCAAATGCTGCTAATTTACTAGATGCTGAACGCTTCGGCTGGTTATTGTCACTATCGTTTTCTTCTTCAACGCATAGTTTTCTTTTCTTATTCACTTCTTCGTCTTCGGGTTTATTATTTGTTGTAGCATTAATAGTTTCTTTAAATCTGGAGTAAGCCGTTTTCATAAGTTGATTAGCATCTACATCGGAAAATTCTTCATCCAATTTTTGCTTATTTTTTTGAAACCAACTGACGAACGATTCCTTTTGTGGAACCTTGGGTTTTTTAGACTTAGGCAAATGAACGAGCGCAGGAACTACTGGTTTTGGTTGTTCTTCGACTTTATCTAATCCAGAAAGACCTGGAAATATGTTTTTAATATAAAAAAAAAAAAAAAAAAATAAATAAATAAATATATATATTGATAGATATATATATAGCTACATTTGAAGTTGCATCAAGATATGCTAATCTATTCAAATTAATGTCTCTATTGTTCAATTACCTCAAGAGTCATTTTACGAGCGTTAAAATTACTATTTTTAATTTATATTTTAGCGTTAATATAAAGGGAAAATGTTCAAAGTAAGATATTTCATGTAACCAAATGGAGTAAACATTACTTCAACGTAATAGAACATGACACGCAATCTAATAGAAATCGAACAAAGCTTTATACAAGTTAGGATAATTATTTATTTATCCTTTTATTTTGTATTTTGCACTTATTCTGATAATCGCACATTATATATCAAAGGTATACTAACACATTATAATACAAATGCCATATGTCATTATGGAAATTTGAATATTTTACCTTTCGATGTGGGTGTATTTCCTTTTTTTAGGAATGGATTACTTCTTCGTCCAAACGTCTGACTAGGAGTTAAGGGCTTAACTTCTACATGGGACGCTTGAGATACTGGTGCTATAAGAGGATCTTCATCTTCAAGATTATCGATACGATCGTTAAATAAATCCTCTTGTGTCTCAGTAGCTTGAACAACTTCATCGGGCTCTTTGGTATCTGCTATAGATTCTAATTTATTAGCTAGAGCAACTCTATTTATACGCCCAGCGTATTTTATTGCTAATTCTATAACCTTCTGAGAAGCAATTTGATCACATAACTCTATCGCACGAAATTCTACATTGTTGCGACAAGCGGCCTAAATATATAAAAAGTATCGTAATATTATCACAATATAGTGGTAATTTATAAAAACATCCCGCTCATAATACAATTTTTAGTACGACAAATACATTTACAATAACGGATAGTGAATTTTGTATAAATTTTTTTTTTATGAAATAGGATAGGCAATTTGCATAATCATTTTATCCACTCGCACCCCGTCCCCTCCCTCCCTCACACCCAACCTTTATTAATCTGCATTTAATTATTTAAAAGTTATGAAAAAAATTTTAAAATACATTTTATACTCACAGCTATGAGTGCCAACACAGCTTCCTTTTCATCAATTGGATTACTACCAAATTGCCACACTTTAGCTTCTTTTTCCGATTTCTCACTATTAGGATCGCATAATGGTATAATTAAAGGTATTTCCGCAACAATTGGACGTGGTGTCGTTAGAGGATAATGGCTTCCTTTACATAATATACAACGCACATTTCTGTTTAATTCGCTTATTCCGACGATGAAATAATTATCGAATTTACCTTTATTCTAATAAGTAATTAGTAATCAGTTATAATCACAGTGACAATTTATACAATTTAATAATCGATTTATTAATCTTATATATTATTTTATACACATTTAATAATATTATTAAATATTAAAATAAATTATTAAATATAATAATATTCAATTGATAGAAACAATTTCATAAATAATTCGATAAATATAAATATAAACAATCAATAAATATAAAATATAAAATATGAAATAATATTTTTCACAACCATACTATAAATCATTATAGAAAAGTTAATTGAAGTAATCTTTTAAGCTACTGTATAGTAAAAAATAATTAATATACATTGTCATAATCTGTATTAAAAGCCTTAAATTCTAAATATTTGAAACTAAAAACATGAATAATTTACCTGTCTATTTGTATTGCATGCAACTCTCCACAATGACGCTTTTTTATCAAATATATTAATAATTCCTTCTGCATCCACCACTACTGGAGAGACAAGATCAGAAAATCCTACCCACATTAAATTCGATGCTGGTGAAAGCGGGACTTGTAAAGTATTACTTTTTAAATTTGGACCACACAAGCGAATCCAAAGCAAACTTAAATTTTGATCACCGAAAGCTCCTATAATATAATGTTTTCGTATTTATAATTCCAAATTCTAAACGAAATTCTAAATTTATTAATTGAATAAATTTTATAAACAATTTATTTCAACTTATCCAAAGATAATATTAATATTAAATAAAATTAATAAATTCACCTATACTAGAATGGTATACTACGGCAAGATTATTCCCATAGCCGTTCATGGCTACTACTGGTCCAGGCAAAGCTATAACTTCTCTTTGAGTACCACCAACCATAAATATTCTTAAAGTTCTTGCACTTGTTGCTACAGCAACAAAATTCTTTCCAGCTGCAACTGCATGTGCTTCTTCTCCATCGGGAAGATCCATATTCCATTCTTTATTTCCAGAGCCCCATCCTAATTGAAAAGCAAAACATAAGAATACAATTACACCGAATAAAATTATAGTTGTGCAATTCACAGAATACTTTCTTTAACCTATACAATATTTAACTTCTTATACTTTTTATATAAAATTTAAGTTTAATGAATCAGAATTGAAAAAAATTTGCATTAATTAGTTTTTTAATTGTAATATATGAACAATATTTTACAAGGTTTTAAATTTTCTTATAATTATTCCTATGATACCTAATAACCAAAAAAATAGAAAAATTATACATTAGTTTTTTAATTTAAAAGTCTTTTGGAAAACAATCTTTTAAAATATTTTTTTAAATACGTATTAAATATAAATATGTACATAACTTTTTTTTTCAAAGCAGCATAAAGTATTATAAAATATGCTTTTTAACTAAAGTATGAAAAATTTGTAGAATTTTTTCAAAATTTTTTTAAAAACAAAATATTCTTTGCTTGTGAAATCAAAATTTTATATGGTTGGTCATAATATTTATTCTATTACACCTTGAAGTACTATTACGACGATCTTGCTTGAATCATCGTCACAAGCAGGTGTCGCAAGTATTAAAGCTTCTGCAGATAATGCTGCCATTGTATGGTGTAAATAGTTATTAATGTGCATCGAGTGATGTACCATAACATCGTGAAAATTAACTTCTATATTGCTGTCGTTACCATCTTCTGAAGTAAAACACATGATTATACCTACATCATTCCACACCTAGTTATTGTTAAATTTTTAAAATAATTTATTATTCAAAGTAACAATTATAATTTATGAATTTGCATATTTTACCATATAGCGAGATAAAAGATGAGTCGGAGAAGAACCAGGTTGAAATGGTTCTTGTAAATTTATTTTAGGCAAAACTTGCTTTTCTTCATACGTTTTCTCCGATACATCGGATAAACTCTGTTCATCGTCTTTGAGAATTGAGGCTTTAATTTTGTTTAACGATATGTCATTGTCATCATCACTATCATTATTGATATTTAACATAAGATCATTATCAGGCACATATCCATTTGTAACAGGCTCCGCTAATAAATCTTCAAGAGATTTATCCTTTGTCACTTGCTGATAAATATATTATTTATGTCTTAAATATTATATTTATATTTAAAAATATAAACAAATGTAAATAATATATAAAAATAATACGATAAATATTGGTACATACAACTTCGATACAACTTAATTGACCAAGGGCATCGCAAAAAGCTATTTCATTTGATTCATTTGGATTCCAAACAAGGGATGTTATTTTAGCATTTTGTTGATGATCAACGTAACCAACTAATATTTTACTTTCAATTTCCCACACTGCTATTTCTCCATATATGGAACTTGCAGCAATTAAATTCCCACATGCTGAAAACTTACAAATGCTTAGATCCTAAAACACGTGAAATTGATTAATAAACCTTTTAAAATGATTATTTGTTCAATAATATATATGATATTGCAATTATTTAGGAATGAAATATCATCTGTTGCAAAATTTGAAATATGAAATTTCATTTTAATTAGAATATAACATTAAAAATAATTATTGTGAGTATTTACGTTTGCATGCGTTTAAATAGTCAAATACTAGTTTTACTTAATTCAGAATTAAATGCTTTTTAAGTAAGAATAAAATTTATAAAATGTGTGCTTAAAATATGTATTATAAATAGATTATACATTTTTTATTTCAGTGGCTCTCAGTTTAAACATCTCCTTCCAGACGAGTCTTTCAACAATAACGATTTCTTTGCCATGTGGATACGCAAGATACTTTCCGCTTTTACTGTGAAATGATGGTATGGCATAAACTTTGGCTGTAAAGAAGGAATTCGATTTTGGAACAACATTGTTCAAGGTATGAACTAGTTTTTTATCCTTAATACTCCATATTTTAATAGTACCATCGCCACTTGACGACGCCTAAAAGAAGATAAAATTTTATAAAAATTAATGAGTTAAAACTTAATAATTTACATAAATTCGTACGATAAATTCTTCTTTTGGATCGAGTGATAAACCTAATATTGGAGCTTCATGACCATTTAATTCAAAACTTTCCGAGGTATTAATATTTGTAACTTGAATTCGCATATCACTGAAAACATATACCATAAAGAAATTATTAAATAATAAATGTATTTATTAAAAGATTTAGTTTGACAAATCTTACCAGGAACCAGAAACTATTAATTTACTATTTTTTGTAGTCGATAATGCTGATACGGTAGCTGCAAATCTCGTAACAATTCCTTCTTTTTCCAAATCCGGGTGACTAAGTATTTGCACTGAGTTATTATCATTTCCAACGTATAATTTATTTTTCTGTTAATAAAAAGATTTAAGTCGAATAATTATGTAAATATTGATTATAACATGTAGGGTAAAATAAATACTTTTGAAATCACAACTGTAGCTTGCTCAGAAATACAACTGGCTGCCGGATCATCATCCATTAAATTGATCCAAGTTCGTACATCTCCATCAGTACCGCAAGTAACGAATCCACCTCTGCAACAATATTATAACATTAAAACAGTTTATAATAAATGTTTATTTCTTATAATTATTATATCAATAGAACATTCTCATTTAAATAAAATAAATAAAAATATCTGAATATTAATTGAAGGTACATACTTTTCACCAGTAAAATAACAAACATCGGTATGACCTTCTGGATGGGCATAGCGCATTGGTTTTTTAATTAGAGGCATTTTAATAATTTTTTGTAAAATATTATAAAAGTGAATACATAAATAACTAAATGTTTAATCTTGATTTAACGTATTTGCAATAATAAAAAATGCACTTTTGGCGCGCGCATTCACTTCACATTACCATGCATAACCAATAACAAACTGTGCACAATAATTTATAAGTTATAAACATTTTTATATGATTTATTTCTATGATTAGCTAAGCTATTAACTTAAATAATTACAATTTAAGAGTGTCAACATTTCCTAAAATTATTTCAATTGAAATAAGAAAACATGTCGATATTAGTGTTAAAAATATTTCCCGCTATTTTATACGAGTTAGTACGCATGTACAATCGTCAATTATATATTTAATCTTAAAGATAAATTATCTATTATCTAAATTTTTTTTTTTTTTTTTATCTAATTATTTATAGATTTTAAAAAGTACCGTGTAAAACAGTAATATAATATACTTCATAATTATGTAGAATTATGTATTATTAATTGCAGTATTTACAAATAATTTTATTTTATTTACATTATATTTGTTATATCTATTATTATATATTTATTAATACGAATCCTAAAGTGGATAAGGGTAAAACGAAGTAATGTAAAAGAATATAAAAAAAATACACGCACACGCGCGCGCGCACACACACACACACACACATTTGCACATAATTATAAAAATTTATTATACAATAAAGATTATTGTAACATAATAGTCTTATAAATATAATTAGAAGGCGGAAATAACAGTCGCAAAAATGTTGAACATTACAATGTACATTAAAAAATAAATATAAATTTTTTAGAAATATAAAAATTTACAAGTATAATATGAAAAAATAAAAGTGTCAAGGTTATACACATTTAAAAATGTTAACCGTTGAGTAGAATTTTGATGCTAATCGATAATATATTGGCAGGTAAAATATAATATTACATTACTAAATTATAACAATTTTTAAATATATTTTCTAATTAATTGTATACTGTTATTTATAAATAATATTATTAATTACATTATTCAATTATAAAATTTTGATATTTCCATTATTATTGCAATTATTAAATATTTGTATATATTATCCCAGGTGGATTAATAAAACGATGTAATGTCGAAAATAATTATTCGATATTAAAAACTCTGATTATAAGGAAATTACTAAACATGTTAGCCTTAATTAAATATTTGAACAAAGTGTAAAGAAAATTTTTGTAATTTGAAATGTTTTAATAGTTTTAAAGTATTCCATTAATATGTATGTACAGATGAAAATGCATTTTTCATTTTTTTTTTTTTTTAGTTTCTATAGGCACAGAAATCAACCGGTTATTTTTGTTTTCGGCCCCGTCGCATGATGACTTTAATTTGAAAATTTTTAGTTTATATTTCTTATTTTTAGATTTTTTTAAATTTTTGTGTATACATTATTTTTTAAATTTTCTAGTGATATTTATTGCCATATATTAAAAACAAAATAAAAATGGTGAATTAATTAAAGTGCATACATTAATGATAATAATTTTCAAGTATATTTTTTACATTTTTTTACACACAAATATAGCGTGAATGCTTATCGATACACATTGGCCAAGCTGGAGTGCAAATTGGTAACAGTTGCTGGGAACTTTACTGCCTTGAACATGACATACAACCCGATGGTACACCTAGTAGCACAACCAGTATCAATGAATGTTTTGATACCTTTTTTGTCGATACCGTCACGGGAAAAAAGAAGCCAAGGGCATTGATGATCGACCTAGAACCTACTGTAATAGGTGCTACACCCTAATTATATTTTATCAATTAGAGATAATAAGTGCTCACAGCCCAATACTCCGTGTTAAGCGAAGATTAATCTAATAAACTTTGAAAGCAATTATATAAAATTATATGAATATTATAGTAAAATAGTAAAATAATAAGCGCGAAATACTTTGTGTAAAAGTTACCAAATATTAATATTAAAAATTATAGTGAAACGCTTGGCGTTAAGTATAATCGAACGAACATTGAACTTTGTTCTAGTATTAGTTCCAAAATGTTTTATTATTATGATTATGATGATTGTCGTTGTCGTTGTCGTTGTCGTTGTCGTTGTCGTTGTCGTTGTCGTTGCCGTTGCCGTTGCCATTGCCGTTGTTTTTGCTTCTGTTATTATTGTTACTCTTATTATTATTATTATCATTACTACTATTGTTATTATTATTACTACTATTGTTATTATTATTATTATTATTATTATTATTATTATTATTATTATTATTATTATTATTATTATTATTTAATTATTGTATAACAGATGAGATCAGAACTGGAAAGTATCGGCAACTTTATCATCCAGAGCAACTTATAAATGGTAAAGAGGATGCAGCAAATAATTATGCTCGTGGATATTACTCAGTGGGGCAAGAGCTTCTCGATGTAGTCACAGATCGTATCCGAGTTTTCGTCGAACAATGTCAGAGTTTACAAGGATTCTTTCTCTTTCATTCATTCGGAGGTGGCACCGGTTCTGGTTTCACATCATTGCTTATGAAAAAGCTAGAAAATGATTATGGAAAAAAGAGCAAACTTGAGTTTACCGTTTATCCAGCCCCTCAAGTGATTATACATAAAAATATACATAACATAATTAAACATTTGTAGTCTTAATTACTCGACATATATTTTAAATATTTTCATTCGTCACGTCATTTAATAAATATAAGCCACATTTAGATGAGTAATTTTTCGCTCTTTATATTAATAGTAAGTACTATCAAACGAAAACAAAAACCAAAAATTAGAAAACAAAAAATAATAAAATAAGACCGACAGTTACGTATTGTGTATTTTATGCAACGACAGTTTATATTTAATAGTTTTATAATATTAATCGATCGATTTATTATTCTAAACGCTTTAAGATAAATGTAAAAATGTATTGTGTCCAATTTTAGAAAACGTCGCTTAACTGCTATAAAGTTTGTCCGAATTTAGCTTTGCTTTCACGCAAATAAGTAAATAATAAATAAATAATAATCAATAATTTGCTTTTTTCTTTCATATAAATGTTTCATGCGTCATATTTGTGGCAAATGAAAAATTTAATAAATTAAGAAAATAATTAATGACAAACAAATTACATAAATTTATAATTGATAGATAGATAGATAGAAGAAATTAACGACAAACTTTATTAGACGATGATTATTGCCTTTAATTTAGGCGATTCTGGTAGTTAGCAATTGTGAAAAGCAATGAAGAAAAGCATTTCTCCAAGCGTAAGGAATTAAATTTTTAAATTACAATATCGTTAAAAAAAATATAGGTATCGACAGCTGTGGTGGAACCATACAATACCATTTTGATGACCCATGCAACAATTGGTTTTTCGGACTGTACATTCATGGTAGACAATGAGGCAATTTATGATATTTGCTATCGAAAACTCGACATCGGGCGACCCACCTACATTAATCTGAATAGGCTTATTAGCCAGGTGGTGTCTTCGATAACCGCTTCTTTACGTTTCGACGGAGCTCTCAATGTCGATCTCGCTGAGTTTCAAACGAATCTCGTGCCTTATCCTAGGATACATTTTCCTTTAGTCTCGTATGCACCCGTCATATCAGCAGATAAATCTTGCCATGAAAATCAAACAGTATCACAGATTACTTCTGCATGCTTTGAAGCTGGTAATCAAATGGTCAAATGCGATCCTAAAGATGGAAAATACATGGCCTGTTGTCTTCTTTATCGAGGCGACGTGGTTCCCAAAGATATTAACTCAGCTATCAGTTCAATAAAAGCCAAAAGGAACATAAGATTCGTTGATTGGAGCCCAACTGGTTTCAAAGTTGGAATTAACTATCAATCTCCAACTGTTGTACCTGGTGGAGATCTAGGAAAAGTATGATTTAAAATTTTAAATTATTTATAAAACAAATACTTTTTTCTCCTTGAATTATTCATCGAGATAATAGTGATATATTTTGTATCAATTTTACAAGCATATTAAAAATGCAAAAAAAAAAAAAACAAAATAAAAAGCAAAAAAGAGAAAAAAAAAAGAAAGAACGAATAAAAAAAATACAACAATATTTTGAATAAAATAACAAAACAAACAAAACAAAAAAAAAGAAACAATTACAAAGTAATAGTATAAGCACTAAAATTTGTTTAACTATGTTTTAAAATGTCGATGTAGGTACAGCGGGCAGTTTCAATGCTGTGTAATACAACTACCATAAACGAAGCTTGGACAAAGCTTAATCACAAATTTGATCTAATGTTTAATAAACGTGCTTTCGTTCATTGGTATATTAGTGAAGGAATGGAGGAGAGCGAATTCTTAGAGGCGCGCGAAGATCTTGCAGCCCTTGAGCGTGATTATCAAGAAGTTGGGAGTGACTCAGTATTGAACGATTATAATGATTATTAAATATTTCATCGGTATGTGCCAGTATCACACACTCTTTTATTTATTGTAATTTTATTATTTTTTTTATTTTTTTTTTGTTTTTTTTTTGTTTTTTTTTTGTATTATCGTATAATATTGTGCATAAATTTGAAAGATAAAACGATTGTAAAATATATATTTTTTTAACGTATTTAAATTTTAGTAGTACATGTTAAAAAAAAAAAAAAAAAAAAAAAAAAAAAAAAAAAAACAACAACAACAACAACAACAAAATAAATGTACAAATATAAACACGCTATTGTAACACTATAAAAATCATTATGAAGAATATACATTTTAATAAATATTTTTAACATTTTACAATATGCATTTCTTATTGTTTACATTCGATATTAAAAATAATCTAATTTATTTCATGAAGACTTTATTTTGTTATGCAACAGTTTACGGTATCGGTGAAATTTACAAATATATATGACAATTTTTAAGATTTAGGGACAAAAAATTTGATGACACTTTTGTACCGAAGATTAATAATTAATTATAGATATTCTGTCGATGACAAATAATGTATTACAGATATTCGAAATCAAGTGTATAAAACATTGTTTCTTAAGAATAAAAATTTATAATTTATTTTTATTTTACAAATACCAAATTGCAGATAATGTAAAATAAAAGGTATTCTACAAGTAAACGTGTTACTTTAAAATGATATAATCGAATATCTGCTTACAAAATTAATTTTAACGTAACGCTGAATGATACACAATCGTTTATAAGAAAAACTTTATTTTAAATATAAATTATTTTAAATTTTAATAACAAAGTAAATTCGCCGCGTATGTAGTTGTGAATCCACTTATCCATATAAATCGATGAGACGTCGCTAGACTTATTTTCAAAATATTATCTTCGAAAAATTTTCACATGTTTCTTCAATCCGATAAAAACTATTGACGTACTAATATACGAAAAATAATTTTTATAAAATTAAACTAAATGTTACATTGTACATTGATGAAAAATTAATTTATACGATTAGATACTAATTAATTAATTTCCATTTTAGCAATAAGCTGATATAATATATACATAAATTAGAACAGTTTAAATAAAAATTTAATCAAAATTTCAAAAAGTTTCAAAAAGTCTTTGTAATAATTTACATGAAAAATTTTTATTCGACACTTGTTAAGGTTTTTATAATTTATATACTTTACGATAACGTACTTTAAACATTTACTTTAAGTTTAAAAATCATGTTGTTTAATTACTTACCCAAAGATTGTACTAAAATACAAGTGTATTTTATATGACAAATTTTCAGTTTGCATTAACAATTAATCTTAAATAAAATAGATAAAATTTCAGCTATTATGTGAACGTTTCATCGATATATTTAATATTTATTTTTAGATACAATGTCGCATATCGTCTAAGGGATTATATTATTATTTTATTTTCCTATAAATTTGTTCTATGAATTTCTTAAAAGGTGAATCGACAAGCGAAATGAAATTTTAAAAAAATTCTTAAACTATATTACTCCAAGCGAGATTTATTGAATTATTATTTATTATAAAAATAAACATCTCGCTCCTCTTACACCCTTTCTCAGCCATCTCACAAAACCTTTTCTAAATTCTCGACCATAGCCTCATATTTATATTTGCCCGCCTATTTGAAAACCAATGGCCTAGACCTTCGCTATAAACCCTCGCCGTAAAAACTTTTTATATATATATGTATATATATTTATATATATGTGTGTGTGTGTGTGTGGGCGTGTATGAATCTATATATATATATATATATATATATATATATATATATATATATATATATATATATATATAGCGATGCTGAATTTTTTTGTGACAGTGGCGGTGATGGTATAGTAGCAATACCGGTAGCGTCGCGGTGTTTTGGGGTTCGGGGGGGTGGGAAGCGTAGTTAGGATTAAAGCAGGTCGGTCTTAAGTCAAGGTTGGGTAAAGCGTGCCGCTTTTTATCGAAAAAGCTTATAGGTTAGGATATCACCGACTCGTTGTTTATAACAACGAGAGGGATAATGTATTCAATTTGTAAAACCACTCATCCCGCGACGGGAGTGGAGCATGCGATAACTTGCAATTTTTTTAATCGCGCTGAGAAATGTCTTGTTGTCGCGGGTACAAATATTATTCGTGTTTTTCGCTTGATCCCCGATATAGATCCAACAAAAAAAGAAAAATTCACAGGTATTTACATATTTTATAATTAAGTAAAAAATTTTGTTTGCTTGTAATCTATTTTGTGATACTGTTTGTGATACAATTTTTCTCAATTTTTAATCGCTTTTTATTGTGTACTTAACAGACTTACGCCCTCCAAAAATGAGACTTGAATGTCTTGCGCAGTATACTTTGCATGGAAATATTATGTCAATGCAAGCTGTACAACTAATTGGTTCACCTAGAGATTCACTTCTTCTAAGTTTTAGAGAAGCGAAACTATCTGTTGTTGAATATGATCCAGAAATTCATAATCTTAGAACAGTTTCGTTACATTATTTTGAAGAGGAAGAAATCAAAGTATGTATAATAATAATATTCATGCATTAAATTATATAAGAGAATTTTATTATATTTTACTTAAGGTTTTATAATAATTCTTATACTGATTTAACTTTTATCCTTTCCATTTATATATATATATGTATATATATACGTTACATGTATATATAACGTTATATATATATAACGTAGTATATAATAATAAATAAATACGCAAAATAAATAAAAGGTAACTTATTTTTTATTTTAATATACAACTAATATAATTTAAAACAATTTTTACCACTAATATAACCACTGCTATATTTGATTAATAATAATTAGAATTATTAGAATATTTTCTTAACGAATTAAAAAAAGTAATAAAGAAATATTCAGCTAAAGTTAGAAGATGCATCTGCTTAAAGTTTATAATATAATATTTTTATATAATATCGCATAAAATTAACATTGCAATACATTCTACAGAATCTTATAGAATTTAAACAAAAAGAAAAAGAAAAGACAAAAAAAGAAAAATTGTTTTTAATAGTCTGAAATTAACATGCTCTTTTGATATAGAAGCTGATTTTATTTTGATACAGAAATGAATTAGAGTGAAGCATTTGAAATATTTTGTATACAAAATAATTACAAATTTTCTTAATGTATATATGCTTGCATTTAATATATTTACTCATAAAATATTATTTATAATAGGATGGCTGGACCAATCATCATCATGTGCCTATAGTTCGAGTCGATCCTGAAGGAAGATGTGCAGTCATGTTAATTTATGGTAGAAAATTAGTAGTATTACCTTTTCGTAAAGATCCAATTTTAGATGAAGGTGATTTAATAGAAAATTCCAAATCTTCATCCAGTAAAACACCAATATTATCATCATATATGATTGTATTGAAAACTTTAGAGGAAAAAATGGATAATATAATTGACTTGCAATTTTTGCATGGGTATTACGAACCAACTCTGTTAATTCTCTATGAACCAGTAAGAACATTTGCAGGGTAATAAAAATGATATTAGAAAACTTAACGTAATTTAAGCGACAAATTGATATTTAATTCTTATTCATAATTAACGATATTTTAGACGAATAGCAGTACGACAAGATACTTGTGCAATGGTTGCAATATCCTTAAATATTCAACAGAAAGTACATCCAATTATTTGGTCTGTATCCAATTTACCATTTGATTGTTATCAGGCTGTACCAGTGAAAAAACCCCTCGGAGGAACGCTAATAATGGCCATAAATTCCTTAATCTATTTAAATCAAAGTATCCCACCTTATGGAGTATCATTGAATAGCTTATCTGAAACATGTACAAATTTTCCTCTAAGTATGCTGTTAAATTTCAACTAAATTTCATCAATGTATGCAATTTTATATTATACAATGTTGAAATAATGCTTTCAATTTTAGAATCTCAGGAAGGTGTTAAGATAAGCTTAGAAAGTTCTCAAGTAGCATTTATTTCATCCGATCGCTTAGTAATATCTTTAAAAACTGGAGAACTTTATGTATTATCGCTTTTTGCGGATAGTATGCGATCTGTTCGAGGTTTTCATTTTGACAAAGCTGCTGCTAGTGTATTAACTTCTTGTGTATGTATAATCAATTGTTGATATCAAGATTGGTATATAAAATTTTTACAACATATTGTTTTATTAGGAATATTTTTAATTTAAATCGATATAAAAGTAAATTTCAACAAGAGTTAAAAAAAGTTGGGTTTTATGAAATTTCTTCATCTTATTAGTCCACAATCCAATAATTGGCCCTCTTAAATTTCCTTCATCAAAATGTCCTATTTACATATTATGTTATTGAGCAATATAAAATTTACATCATTTTCACGAAATTATATTTGAATTCAATTTCATTGAATCAAAATCATTGAAAGATATTTAATATAAGAATAGATGAATATTAAAATACTATATTTTATATTCTATTTTCTTTTAGGTTTGTATGTGTGAAGATAATTATTTATTTCTTGGATCTCGTCTTGGTAATTCATTGTTATTAAGATTTACTGAAAAGGAATCGGAGAAAATAAGCGATGTTACCGTTCTAGAAATGACTTTAAACAGTAATAGCGAAGAACCACCAGCTAAAAAAGTAAAACAGGACTATTTAGAAGATTGGATGGCATCGGATGTATTAGACATTAAGGATCCTGAAGAATTAGAAGTTTATGGCAGTGAAACGCAAACTTCTATTCAAATTACATCTTATATTTTTGAAGTATTGAAAATAAAATTTATTTTTTATTTAAATTTTGTATAACTGTATTACAATTTTTCTTACTTTCTAATTAGGTATGCGATAGTTTATTAAATATCGGACCGTGCGGCAATATTTCTATGGGTGAGCCTGCGTTTTTGTCAGAAGAATTTTTACATAGTTCAGATCCAGATGTGGAATTAGTCACAACTTCCGGTTATGGTAAAAATGGAGCACTTTGTGTTCTTCAGCGATCAATCAGACCTCAGGTTTTAATACATTTTTTTCATTTTAAACATTTATGTTTTTTAAATATTTAAAATACAAGACTTATTGAATTACTCTTATAATTTTAAGGTCATAACAACGTTTGATTTGCCAGGCTATGAAAATATTTGGACTGTTATAGACTCAACAATTAGTGACAATCGAGGAAAAACGGAAACTGAAGGAACGCATGGATTTTTAATTTTAACACAGGATGATTCTACAATGGTAGATAATGTTTGATTAAACCTTACATAAAACTTTTTTTCTTAATTAAAGTCAAAAATTATTTTAATTTACATTAATCTATTATTTACCAATGCGTACGTACATAGATGTACATAGCAATAGATTAAATTAAATAATAATAATTATACAATTATTTTAATTAATAGATACTTCAAACTGGACAAGAAATTAATGAAGTTGTTGATCAAAGTGGTTTTAGTACTCAAGGTACAACGATATTTGCCGGAAATCTTGGCTCAAATCGTTATATTATTCAAGTTACACAAATGGGAGTAAGGCTACTGCAGGGTTTAGAACAAGTAAACATAAATATACATACACACGCACGCACGCGCGCGCACACGCACACACACACACCCACACACACATATATATATATATATATGTGTGTGTGTGTGTGTGTGTGTGTGTGTTAGTGCGTGTGCATATATAAAATTATATGTTAAATTTTTCTAAACAACAATTATAAATTTACATATTTATAATATTCAAGATTCAACATATGCCAATGGATTTGGGATGTCCAATTGTGCATGCTAGCTGTGCAGATCCATACGTCACTTTACTCTCTGAAGATGGACAAGTCATACTTTTAACATTAAGAGAAGGAAGAGGAATGGCACGATTACATGCGCAAGCTGTAAACTTATTATTTGTAAGTTCACATAATTCTTCACAATAATGAGACATTTGAATGATTTGATAGAATTTTTTTTATATCTTAGATAAAATTCTTAGTAAAATTATTTATAATATGCATCTCATCCGCGCGCGCGCACACAGAGAGAGAGAGAGAGAGAGGCTCACAGAAATAATCCAATAAATTTCAATAAGCTAATATATATTTAAAAAAAAAAACTTTGTTATCGTTTGTTTATATTGAGCTATATTTCTTCTAATTTATTTGATTTTTTAGCGTCCCCAAATAGAAGCAGTATGTACTTATAGAGATGTCAGTGGCTTATTTACAACAGTTTTACCCGAAGATGTTGATGATGAAATATTTGATAATGAAAATGCAGATGAACCACAAGTGATTGAGAGCCTTGATAACGAAGACGATTTGTTATACGGTGATGCACCAACATTTCAAATGCCAGCTCCTCCTATAATAAAGCCTCAAGAAAGTTCTACAAAGAAACCTCCATGGTAAGTTTACCTACTTGCATAAATTGATTCGCAATTTTTGATAATAAATAGAAAATTAACTTACCACAGGTGGCAACAGTATTTACAAGAAATAAAACCATCGTATTGGTTATTTGTTTATAGAGATAGTGGAACTTTAGAAGTATATTCATTACCAGAATTGCGTTTGTCTTACTTAATAAGAAATTTCGGTTTTGGGCAAAATATATTACACGACAGCATGGAATTTACAACCGTGCAGGGCTCACAATCTAATGAATCGGTCAACTCTGAAGTACAGGTAAATTTGTAGCTATAATTAACATAAACATAATTTACCATAATAAATCACTATTTTCCAATCTCGTTTTAATAAAACTAATTAATTATCTTGTAGGTTCGCGAAATTGCTGTAGTTGCTTTAGGGCATCATGGAAATCGACCAATGCTGTTAGTACGATTAGATAGTGAATTACAAATTTATCAAGTATACAGATATCCAAAAGGTTATTTAAAACTGCGTTTCAAAAAAATAGATCACAATTTTATCGTTGGATTTGCAAGGTATCGGAATATAAGATATAAATAAAATTTTATTTAGCATTAGCCATAGTATAAGCATGTCTATTATAACAAATAATATATCAATATAATTTCAACTAGAATTGGACCAAAAGAAGAAGATCTACCGATCATGAACGATACACGATTATGTATGATTCGATATTTTAGCAATATTGCCGGTTATAATGGAGTATTCATTGGTGGTGATTATCCTCACTGGTTATTTTTAACTGGTAGAGGTGAATTGCGAGCCCATCCAATGAATATCGATGGACCGGTAAAATCATTCGCGCCATTTAATAATGTCAACTGTCCGCAAGGTTTCTTATATTTTAATCGAAAGGTATAACGTAATATTTTATGCATTTTCATCGTAAAATTTTCGAAAACTTTTCACCATCTTTTTATTAGGATGAATTGAGGATTTGCGTTTTACCTACTCATCTCTCTTATGATGCTCCTTGGCCGGTTAGAAAAGTACCTTTACGCTGTACACCACATTTTGTAACATATCATCTTGAAAGTAAAACTTATTGTGTAGTAACAAGTATATCTGAAACACTTAAAAGTTATTATAGGTTTAATGGGGAAGACAAAGTAAATACGTCCTTTCTTTATTTATTTTTTTTTTTTTTTTTTTTTTTTTTTTTTTTTCATTTTTATCGTTTGAATTAATTTTATAATGTAAATTATCTTATAATATGCAGGAATTTACAGAAGAAGAAAGAAACGAAAGATTTTTATACCCAAGTCAAGAGCAGTTTAGCATAGTGTTATTTTCTCCAGTTTCTTGGGATACCATTCCAAATACAAAAATTGATTTAGATCAGTGGGAACATGTTACGTGTTTAAAGAACGTTTCTTTGGCATACGAAGGGACGAGATCAGGTCTGAAAGGATATATCGTTATTGGAACAAATTATAATTATGGAGAAGACATAACGAGCAGAGGCAGAGTAAGTAATTCATCTACACTATTTTTTTTATTTTCTTATTATATAATTTTTTTTTTTTTTATATATTATTATAGTTTTTATAATACTTAATCGTGTTGATTTTATTTAGATATTTATATTTGACATCATAGAAGTTGTGCCTGAACCGGGACAACCACTAACTAAAAATCGATTTAAACAAATTTATGCAAAAGAACAAAAGGGGCCTGTAACTGCTATAACTCAAGTATCTGGTTTTTTAGTTTCGGCTATTGGTCAAAAGGTTATTAAATTCTCGTTATTATATTAATCATTATTTATCGTTAATTACCACAAAAGAAAAAAAAAATTAGTAACTTGTAAAAATTTGTAACTTTAACTTAATTAAATTATTTCACAATACAGATTTATATTTGGCAATTAAAAGATAATGATTTGGTGGGAGTAGCATTTATAGATACTCAAATTTATGTGTGTCAGATGCTCAGTATTAAAAGTCTGATTCTTGTTGCTGATGTTTATAAGTCTGTAAGCTTACTAAGATTTCAGCAAGAATACAAAACCCTTTCTCTCGTTAGTCGGGTATGTTTAATTAATCAATATTTTACAATAATGTCGATAAGATAAAAACTTTAATCATAAATTTATGATATTTTAGGATTTCAGAACTACAGAGATTTATGCGATCGAGTATTTTATTCAAAACAATGAATTGGGTTTCATTGTAGCCGATGGTGAAAGTAACATTGGAATATTTTCATATCAACCTGAATCGTCGCAAAGTCTTGGGGGACAAAAGTTAATTAGAAAATCAGATATACACTTAGGACAAAAATTAAACACATTTTTTAGAATAAAGTGCAAAACAACTGATTCGGCTAATCCGGGTAAACAGTTTTCTGGTGCTGAGAAAAGACACGTAACAATGTATGGTAAGTAAATTTTCAATCAATTAATTTTATTAATCGTACTCGTTACGACCACATATATTAATGGAATAAAAATTTAATATTATAGCAACACTAGACGGTAGCCTTGGTTATATTCTTCCAGTACCTGAAAAGACATACCGACGATTACTTATGTTACAAAATGTGCTAGTTAGTCATATTTATCATATAGCAGGTTTAAATCCTAAAGCCTTCAGGTAATAATTTTTAATTTCATAGCATATTCTCTTGTTGTTGCTTTTTCTAATATAAAATAATATAAAATGAATTAACCTTTATTAATTTTTATTAATGTTAAAAGAACTTACAGTAGTTCTATTAGGATGCAGGGTAATCCAGCACGAGGAATAATTGATGGGGATCTAGTAAGAAAATATCTTGACTTACCTGTAAATGAAAAGATTGAAATAGCCAAAAAAATTGGAACTGGATCACAAGAAATTATCGATGACATGCATGAGATTTATAAGCAAACGTCGCATTTTTAAGGAAATTTACATACAACGACGTTTTATTTTGTATATAGTAATGAATGTACATTTTACAAATAATTCTAAGTAAATATGCGATTTTTAAACAAAACTAACGTATTCTCTATTTTTTCCTTTCTATACGTATTTTATATATTTTCTACAAGTACCATTTTATACGTTATTTTATACATTATAACGTTAATAAAAAAGAAATGAACATTATTGAAGCAAACTTATGAATGTATACAATGTTAAGTAAATTAAATAATTAATTGATAATATATAATATATCGATAATAAAGATATATCGATTGACGTTTTTTTTTAATTATTTTATATTTTAACAATAAACAAAATGCTTAATTAACATTTTAGGACAAATACATAGAGTGTAAGAGTGCATATAAATAAAATTGTCATAGTGATATTGATTAATCATTTTTAAACTACTAATTATGTGACTATATTTAACTACACCTATTTTACATGAAATTAATATGCATATTTTAAAAAATATTAGTAATTTGTTTCTTTACGTAGAAAAATAATAATTTACAATATATAAAATGGAATTTTCACAAATAGAAAAAAGGCTTATTGAAGCATTTGATGTATTTGATAATGCAAAAGTCCATCAAGTAGATGTCAGAGAATTAGGAACAATTATTAGATCTCTTGGTAAATTTTATGCTCTGTTATGATTTTTAAATATAAATACTTTTAATAACTGTCTCGCTTAGGTTGCGTTATTACTGAGGCAGAATTGCAAGAAATACAGGTTGAAGTAGAAGATGTTGAAAATAATTGTGTACCCCAAGATCGTTTCGTTGAATATATGTGCAAAGCCATTGGCGAACAAAAGTTTGTAATAATTTATATCGTTTGTCGATAGCATATATAGCATTGACATTTCATTAGTGTGAACCCATAAATACACATCGTATAGAAAAATACCATATTTATGTTTTAAAAATAATTTTCAAAAAATTCGAAATACTTTAATTAATAGGTACAAACCAACTGATCCAGAAGATCTATTAAAAGCATTCCAAGTGTTGGATCCGGAAAACCGAGGTTACATTTTGAGAAATGAATTAGAAAAGGCAGTAACGGAAGTTGGAGAGCCATTTACTGTTCAAGAAGTAAATGAAATGATGTCCATTGCTTGTGATTCACAAACAAATCGAATTAATTATGAAAATTATATTAATTTATTAATAGTAAGTATTTTGGCAAATTGATTAATTGAAAATATTTATTGTAAAAATAATTCGCTTTCGTGTACTTCAAATTCAAATAGCCAAAAATACCCACAGACAAAAATATATTTGCAATGTCGGAAATTAAAGGAGCGTAAAGGAATAAACCATTACAAGTACTTTCTTAGAATATCAGTACATACTGCAATTATCGGCAATTAGCAAATTGTTAAATTTTTAGTGCAACAAGTAATGTGTTAATTGTTGACAAAATTTTGAATCATTTCCATTATAAAAAATAGTTTTTTCTTTTATAATATAATAACAATGTTTTTTATATTAATTTCGATTAAAAAATTATTTACATATATAATAGATCTTTTATACTGGCTAAAATATATTACAATTTAGAAAATACTGGCTTATCCCCTTTTGTTGCTAATGCTGTTGCTGCATTAATAAAATCTTCACTTTGTAGCATAATCTGATTTCTCATAAGCTAAAAAAGAAAGTTATAAAGTAACTAAGAAGTAATTAATAATAAAACTAATAGTATATGAAATTTTTTTTATTATGTTTTTTACTTTTAGGTGGAATGATCGATAATAATACATACTATATGATTCAATCCTTCTCCAACGGTATGTTCTCTTGAATAATTTAAGCTCAGTTTAGTTCCTTGAACCGCTACTGGACTTTTAGCTGCAATTTCTTTAGCTACATCCAGAGCTTTATCCATTAAACTTAAAATAGTTAATAAATTAAAAATATTAATCTGTATATAGGAATACGATCAAAATATTTATATAGCGAATGTACCTCGTTTTATCATCTAAAATTTGGCTTACAAAACCAATTTGAAGAGCTTCCGAAGACAACATTTTTCGACCAGTATAAGCAAGTTCGTTCACTAAACTTTGACTGCCGATTATTTTTGGTAATCTCTGTAGTGTTCCAACATCAGCAGCCATTCCTAAATCGACTTCTTTTATTTGAAACCAAGCATCCGATGAGCAATATCGAATATCAGCGGAACAAATCATATCCACGCCACCTCCAACGCATGCTCCATGAACTGCTGTGATCACTGGTTTCGAGCACTATAATAAAAAATAGTATATTTATAAATGTAACTTCAACTTCGATAAGATTATATTACAATTGACTTCATGAGAATATACATAATTAAGATAGAAAAAAATTATTATTAAATTTACTTACAACATACTATAAATGCATTTGCTTTGATTTCAATAAATTTGTGTATACAACTTGTGTATACTTAAATATAAATTAATACATTCAAGGCTTTACATTTTATACAAATATTGCTACTGTTAGTTCTAATTATTTAATAATAGTTATACAAATGTTAATTTATACCTGCTCTATAGCAGTAAACGAGTCCTGATATTGCTTAATTTTTTTTTCTAAAACTTTACATTTTCTAGCAACATCGGGTAATTCAACCAATTCTTGAAATAATTTCATAGCATCCATTAAGTCTATTCCTGTAATTCAATGAATAAAATACCGTGTATTAATATTAAATCAGGGAAAAAGAATTTTTGAATTAATTCAATTTAATTAAAATATTCATAACTACCTGCACAAAATGCTTTGCCCGATCCTGATAAAATAATCACTCTACAATCGGATTTATTAGAAAGTTCATTAAAACATTCTCCAATTTCTCTGAAACAGTAAGATGGATTTTCCATTTGTCAAAATTACATTAAATTATAATAAATTCATAATTAAATGGACATACAGCCACATAGTACCGTTAAGAGCATTAAGTTTATTCGATCTATTTAATTGAACATGGAAAACTGATGGCGATGGCTCCGTAATAGCCAAGGTAGTATAATTTTTCTGCTCCATCGCAGATAAATTTTTACTGATTATATTTCGTATATTTCTCAGAGCTGATTAACAAAACAATATTTTGAAATACAATATGATGAGATGCCTTATTATGTATGAAAGCTAACTCATTGATTTATTGACTAATTTTGTAAATAAGTATATAATACCCTATGCATATATTCAATATAAATTAATAATAAATTTCATCACTTACTTCCAAGCTTAAAATGCTTTGTTTTTGAAATTATGCTATTCATAATGGAAAAATGTTGAATAATGATTTAAAATATGATATTCATATATCGAATACGTGGCTAGAGTATTCACAAAAAATATTACGGTTGATAGAGATTAGATTCGAATACTTTGTATGTTGCACATCGAAGCAAATCATAAAAATTCATAACATATCTGCATGAAGTTTACAATTATCACCAAAGGTCGGTGCAGTCAAAGTATTAAGTATAAAGAAATTGGAAGTAAGCATAGTCGGACCGTGGCGCTCTCGTACCCGCTGCACATAGAATATTTTAAGAATATTTCGTAACTATACGCTACTGCTCCTTCCAATTCAATCTTCGAGTTATAATTCGCACGAAACTATAAATTACAATGGAAAGTTATCGGATAAAGTTTTGATAGGGCCCTATAAATCAAAGCAATGAACTCAAATGAAAACTTTATGCAGACGAAGTGACAATTATATTTTTGTATCTTTACAACGATCTTTCGAATATCAATTTAAATAAAATATCTTAAGTAGTCCTAATATATATATATATATATATATATATAATTAACAGAGAACCTTTGATTTTTATTTTATTGGAATATTGAATCTATACATTTGCTAATAAACCAAATGTTTATTATATTTTGTTCATAACTTTAAGCAGAGAGATTTTAATTGTAATGGGGCTAAATTTTGATCGTTTGACTTGTGAATTTTCATACAAAATAGTGGGGTAAAATAATAATTAGAAACATCAACAATATTGTTTCAAAGTCAACATGTTTTTCTCTTCAATAATAAAAGTATGCGTAATGAAATATTATTGTTTATCTTTCGTGCATAATTCCCTAGAATTTAACATAGTTTGTTATAGCACACGTCTGATTTTTCCATTATTAATTTGTCTCCCAATGCCCAATCCCTTATTCGTCTCCCATTCCGTTCAAATATCAATTCCCCGTCAATATTATTTCTACTCGGAATCTCGAAAATCAAACTCCACTAGTACGTGTCACGGACTGTAGAGCGCTCTACAGTATATGCAATTTAAGTATAGTGTGGTCGAGACCTCGAATGTTTGGAAATGACAATCAATAGGACTTTCAGTGTTTTATGCTGTGCATATCATGGCCGGTGATTAGCCGGAACATCCCTTCATTTAGTTTTGATTTATAAATTTATTTTTATCCACAATGGAACTATCACGGATTGCTTTGGGTAACGGATTAAAAAAGTCACTGCTTCATTTAACGAAAAGCGTCCTTTCTGTGCACGTGGCGAGATATATTAGGTAATATTGATATTACGTAAATAATATAACCTAGGTGCAAATATAATATAGCCACTAACTACCAGATAAAAATCTTAATAAATATTGAGTGCTTTGTTAAGCGCATAATTAATGAATGGCGATTATTTTTTTTTGTAAAGATTGGCTGAAGTGGGCAAGTTGGAAGCTCCAAAACTCCAAGGAAAGTATGAAACTGGACAGTTGATTTTACACAGAGTTTTTGGTTATCGAGGGGTTATTCTTTTTCCATGGCTTGCCAGAGTGTATGACAGAGATTTACCAAACAGGCAAGAAGAGTAGCTGTGTAAAAAAAAAAAAAAAAAAAAAAAAAAAAAAAAAAAAAAAAAAACAAATAAAAGAAAAAAAAGAAAAACATTCAAGAATGATTTTTATAAGACGATCATTAAGCTTGTGTATTATACACAATGTTTTATCATTATTATTATTAAATATTATTGTAATAATATACTTATAGATAAAATAAATATAAATTATCATTACAAATAATCAAAAGTAAATATAGAGATCTTAAATGTTAAAATTAATTGAAAAAATTATAAATATTTTTATGAATCGAATATTACATATTAATATGTATGTTAGAGATATTTATGTGTTTTCGATTTTCTTTATTGTAGTACTGAAACTGGAAATTTTAACGGAGTCGGAAAAGAAGTAAAAGGAAGAACACACACATTTTATCAAGTATTAATTGACCAGCGAGATTGTCCTTATATTGTACGTATCTGGTATATAAAATACATTTATTATTTTATATCTTTAAAATATGTTGATTTAAATATTATAAATGTATAAAACTTTTTGTATTTAATCACTTCACGTATTGAAATTTATTAATATACTCGTATATGTAGTATAATTTGTCATTAGAAATTTATAAATTTCTATATAGAAATGGATAGAAATTTAATAAATTAAAAACGTTCTTATATAAAAAGAACAAAAAACTTATGAAGATTTTTATTTTGTATTTTCTATATTATTGTACAATTTATACTTTTACTTTATGGATGGTTAATATTAAATTAACTAATAAACTAATAAACTTTTAAACCGCAATGTTATGAAATTAACAATAAATCATAAAAGCCTATTTTGTGATTATGAATACTCATCGATTCTTGTAAATAATTAATTTGTCGCATAAAGATTATGAGTAACAGACATTAAAGTACAGCACAATTGAAATTTGAATAATATATAAATCTTCCTCATTTTAAAAATTTTCAAGAGAATTAACTGCAATTAAAAATGTGTACTTTTTATATTTTTACAATATTAATAGTAAGATATTGTATTAAATTACAAATATATGATTATAAGCTTATAATTGCAACATTAGCGGTACTGGATTTAAATTTTATTTTACTTTAATGTGTAATATTTATTATACTTCTTTTATATATTATATAGCTCATTTAATTTTAATGTAAACGTATAATATTAATTTTCGTTACTGATTTTACTTCTATTATTATAGAGAGCACAAACTGAAGCCGTAACTTTCCTCGGGAATCATGAGAGCAGTCGAAGTCTTTATGCTATACCAGGTTTAGATTATGTTGCTCATGAAGATATTTTACCTTATACAACAAATGAAAAACCAGCTTTACAACACGAACTCTTTGATAAATTTCTCTCTTATCATTCGGATAAGGATCCACCTTTCATAGCTCAAGATACTCTACAGGCATGGCAAAAAAAAAATCACCCATGGTTAGAACTTTCAGATGTCCATAAAGAAACTACAGAGAATTTAAGAGTTACTGTCATACCATTTTATATGGGTTGTAGAGATAGCCAGGCCGCATCGGTATACTGGGTAATTTAATTATATTAATTATTGCAGACCCCTTTATGCATATTATACTACATAAAAGTTTATACAATCTAATTTTTGGTTACAATTTTAACAGAATAATAGCACCAATAATAAATTGTTATATCCAGTGTATAATATGCATATCTCTGTATCTCCATACCTAAAATCCATCTTGTATACTGCTTCAGTTGGTCTTTAAGGAGAGTCAAATTTGTTTGTATTTAAAGTCGTTGAAAATTAGTTAAGATATACTTAACTCATAAATTTTGGCAATAAACAACATTATAATTCAATTATGATTATGAATATATTAAGCAATCCATATAATTTGTTGTTCACTAGGTACGTGCATCCTATTAAATCTCTTTTATCATTAAGATATGAAACGTTTACATAAGCATATTCATTTTTATTTTTATTTTTAAATTAAAATAGATTAATTATACAATACTTAAGATATTTCTTTCTTGAATTCTTAAATTAAATTGTCTTAAACGATGCAAATATATATATAAGAAATAAATGTTATTAATTGTAAAATATTGCAAATAAATAAATTAAACAAAATAATTCAAAGGAAAATATGGGTCTCGACAAATGAATGTTTTATTGTTTTTCATTTAATTGTTGGTAGAAAAAGAATTTATATTAATTGAAGAAACATTTCTCATTATTTGTGCTTCCTTTTCACAGAATTTTATTATACATTGTTAATTTATACAAAAATTTTTATTAATGCTTACTACAGTTTCTGTGTATTTTTGTTTTTTAATTTTTGGATTATATGATTAAAAAGAAATAATTAATTATGTATATAAAATATTTTTCTAAATTGTATCTTTCTATTTACATTGTTTAGTATAACACTAAGAGTTTTTTATATAAATTTTTATTTTTATAATGCATTTATAGGATGTAAATGCCAATCATAAACCAACTCATTCGAGATTATGTGCTACTATTGTACTTAAATATTTAATATTTAATACTTTAATATTTCATATCACTATTCATCTTTTCACATAAGAATTTTTATTCTTAATGTGTTATTATTTTATAATAATAAGTCATGTTTATAAAAATCGTATCATGGTAAAAAAAAAAAGAAATTATTTTCCAGTGGCGTTATTGTATAAGATTAGAAAATCTTGGAGATTTAAGCGTTCAATTAAGGGAAAGACATTGGAGAATATTTAGTTTGTCTGGCACGTTAGAAACAGTAAGAGGGCGAGGTGTTGTTGGTCAAGAGCCTGTATTATCAAAGACCTTACCAGCCTTTCAATATAGTAGTCATGTTAGTTTACAAGCTCCCAGTGGTCATATGTGGTACGTATTTAAAAATCATATCCTACAGTAATATGATATAAATTTTTATTCAATACTAATCGAATAATTATTTTAAGTTAGGTCAAATATAATTTGAATTTTAAATATTTTACATTCAAATCTATTGTATATTAACATTGTAAACAGTAGTTCATCTCATTTGTCAATTATTAATATAATTTGTGTATTTACGACTGTATTTAAGCTATGTTTTGGCAATTACAGGGGAACTTTTAGAATGGAAAGAGAAGATGGATACGCCTTTGATTGTAGAATACCACCATTCTCTTTAGAATCAAAAACAGAAGACGCTGCAACTCCCAATCAAAATACCTAAATATATTTAAAGAATATAAAAGAAAATTTACTTAGACTAAGAACACTGAACGATTGAAGTTATTTTTAAGATATAACCTTAAAAAATTATTCGGTTTCAATGTAATAAATTAAACTCTAATGAATCACTAAATTAATTTTGTATATAACCTTATGAGTATTTAGCATCGCAAACGTAGATCTTGATAAACATTATAACTTTCTAAACTTGAAATGTAAGTTAAAAAAAAAAAACTATAACATAATCTTAGTATTGAACATCTTTTATTATTCCCTATTATATACATTTATTATATGATAACAAACAAATGAAGTGTAATGCTTGTAATGTGAAGTTCTGTATATTCTAATACTGATACATCTACTCATTTTTATTAATTAAGTGTCGTGTAAAAAAAAACAAATGTTATTGTAAATTAATCATTGACGACAAATATACTAATTTTTAAGAAATCGTTTATAAACATTAAAATTATTTTGTTAAGAGTAAGAGTTTATGAATACCCGCGTCTCCAAGAATAAAAAAATTAACATTAAACGAAAGCTAAAGTTAAAATGGAAATTTATCAATTTTAAAAATTATAATGAAGGGGTCGCAAGAATAATTTGTGCAAAATTGAAATTGCACAAACGCATGCCAATGGCACCGAATGCGTCGCTCCAAAACTACTACTAAACCTACAATTCCTCTCGTTACGCTAATTGAAAGTCTTTGAGAAATTGATTAACAAAAAGAAGAAAAAAAAAACGAGAGAGAGAATAGAAAAGCACAAGTCTAATTAGAATTGAAAGTTGAATGTTGACGGCCGGCACATACAACTTTCTTAAAGCACTGTTTGAAATTTCAATTTAGAAGCGTTATTCGTCAGGTTTGCCACAAGATGCCACTGCCCTCGGAAATAGGGCCCCGGCATCTTTGTTTTTCCAATGGCTGGCTCTCTTTCTTCGTGTTTCCGCAGTAGTAGTGACTGGTCGTATTTGTGCGTCGCCGCCGCTCGACTTGTGCCGTATAATCTCATTCGTACGAAAAGTATATTTTCAAACTCGTACTTTTTTCTCCTCGACACCTTTAAGCCACGGACGAGCTATGACTGCTAGTAAGTAATTCAGAGCATCGATTAACCGTTACGTTCTCTGCTCTCTTTTCTATCTTATACTTTATACTTGTACTGGTTAGAATTTCGATTTTCTTGTATGACAGAGAAAAAAAGGACAACGATATGTCGCCATACATTTGTCACACTTGGCGTGTCCCTTGGCTTTTAAATTTCGTAAAAAGTCTTTAATTTGTCAGTTTGAGCTGGTGCTAAGCGACCGGTCTACAATACTAATTGATATTGATTATTCTTTATGAAACGTGAGTGTTAAAAGGGTTTGCCGATAAGAGAGAAAGAGATAGATAGAGAGAGAGAGAGAGAGAGAGAGAGAGCCGCAAACGCGCTTTCTCCAGAAGAAATTGAGCGTGATATATAGGCGTGATGCACTTATTATAACTGCCATTAATTGATAAACACTACTTTCATAGAACATACACATATATAGATATATATATACAGATATATCATTGTCCTTTTTCTCCGCATGAAATTCGAGATCGAGTAAGAATGACGGGAGGGTGGAGGGGTGGGGTGGAGATAGAGACAGGAAGAGGATGAGCGAGAGATTTTATTTAATATCGAATGATAATGAGTGTAGTAAATTTTTCTTTGTGACAAATATACAAAATTTGTTATTGATTGTAATAAAGATCGTCGCTGTGAAATATAATGTAAACGAAGGTTAGTTTTTATCTGATCGATTTCCAATCAGTGGTGTTGATGCCGATACACTTAATATTATCAACCAACGTTGATAGAAGATACGTCCGTATTACTTTAGGTTCGGCAGAGCGAAGATAATCGGTACAGTGTTAGAGACTTTAGGTAAATTCGATTGAAGTGCCTCTAGCGGTGAAATTCTTTAACAATCCACATATTTTCAGATTACATGAGAAAGATGAGCGAAATGTGGAAAGGATTGAAAGAAAAACTTTTTGCCACGTTTCTTATGCTCCTTAGTCTCGAGATTATTTAACGTACAAATTGAATTTAATTCTGATGAGATTATAATTTATAATTTAAATGTAATGTTAATTTTCACAATAGAATCATCGTGTATGATAATTTGTAATTAAATCGCATGTAATATCAATTTCACTTATTTATTTATTAAAGAATTGTCGACTTTTGATTTCCACATTTGGTGATAAAAAGATAAATATCGCAGTCATTTGGTTTCGTACTATATTCACGAATGGAGCAGTGAAATTAGTCGTTATTAAACGTAAATATCGAACTTTCACAATTATCCAATAGCTTTATTTTGTCAAATTAACATTATTATTACATTCTTAATAAATATAAGATTCAGCCATACTTTACTCTTTAATTGAATTTATGTTTTCCTAAATAAGCAATCTAACAATATTATTACGTATTATTGAGTAAATATTTAAAAATACATTTCATAAGATCTATTTAATATGTAAAATTTATATTTTTGCCTACGGGTGATTGATTTTTAGCTCGTAAGGGACTTTGCTTGACAAATAAAATTTTCCACATCTACACATGAATTATCTATAAACATTATTTTCTCATTAGTCCGAGGATGAGTAATTTTTTATTTAGATCATTATTGAAATCTTTGAAATTAATATTGCCGAAATAAACGTAATTATAGTGAAATAAAAATTAATTTAATATACATTTATTAACTAATTAATGCATTAGAACATCTTACATTGTCAAGAATTGTATTACTAATATTGATAATAAATATATTATTTCTTCATTAATTATATATTATTAAAATACGATTATGGTTTAATGCATTACTGAAATAAATCAATATCTTTAACTTAATAATAATAAAAGTAATTTTGAGAAAAATTATTTAAAGTTAGGATATTGTTTACTTTACAAATTATACTTGACTACTTACAGTTATTAACGAATGATAAAAAAATTAATTGTTATAAATAATTCATGATCGAAAGTTAAATTGTTTGAAATTATAATTGATTGTGAAAATTACTGCAAGTCTATAAATATGCATAAAACGTTGATTAAAGGAAGTATTGATTTACGTTTTCTTTGACAATACGATTATAAATTATTTCCTATAAAATAATATATCTTTTAATATTTAAACTTTTAATAGATTTTCAAGAATCAGGCCCAAGATTAAGTCCATTAGAAGGTAAATTATTTTCTTTCAAACATAATTAATTCGAAGGAAATATTTATTTAAATATTGGCCAGAGCTTTACTCGAAACAAAATTTAATTAAATTTGATAGCATTTTAATTTACATAATACGTATGTGCCAATTAGAATTATCACTACATCGCGTTATTTCAATAACCATAAGATTTTAAGTTTTCAGAAAAGAAAACATTAGTCGTTCATCGATGAGCACTTGTAGTTTGCACGTGACTTGTCCGTAAATGTTTCTACATATACACATACTACACCACGCACACTGCTCCTTTATTTATTTATTTTTTATTTTATTTTTTTTTTTTCAACCTCTGACGTAACCTTGAAATGTGCATTTAAATCAGAGTATTCGCCTGCTGCAGCCTCTAATATTCCTAACCGTTACAATTTTCATTCGTGAAAATCATAGAAGCTGAACGTGATAATATATTATATTAACGTCGACATTATTAACTTGATATTTATTTGAATTATGAACACAGCATCGATAAGGCCAAATTAAAAATATTAACGAAAGCATAATTCATACTTGTTCCGTTACATTTATTCTTAATTATATGCGTTAATTAAGCGCGAAGAAGACAAATGCCTATGGGAAGCAAATCAATGGACCATGTAAAGAGTCATCAAGTAATCAATGTAAAGAGAGACATATGCTAGAATGATTGAGCAACTGAAGAATTTAGATTGATATTAAGTATTCGATGCCTACGTGCGATGAGATAATAAGCACTCGGCAAACATATTTAAACCCGTGCCAACCATGTACTTATGCATTGCAAAATGAAGCGGGATAATTAGGAGATAGTCGAGGCAACGCTTATCTCCTCCGGAAACGAGATTAGTGGGTCAGTCAGAGAGGACGAGCTAATCCGAGGATATGTGGTGTAGGTCGGGGCACGTCGTCTGCCACGAGGAAGCGCGCGACTGGCTTGGCGACGCTTCGTCGGCACATTCCTCTTTTAAGAAACATTCGCCCCCCCCTCCCCGAGATATCTAGCGAGGTGCTCTCGATTGGCTAATGTCGACTTTTCACGGGAATTATATTTTGTCGAGATTATGCGGCGATCGTATGAATGTTTACCAGGAAGGTTGACCGCATTGTAGCCAAATTAAGTACAATCGTGTAAATTTTTCACTTCTCTTTCTTTGTTTCTCCTTTTTTTTTCAACTTCTCCAACTTATGCTTGTTGCGAACTACAGGTGGTAGGATTATCAAGAGGTGAAATTTGACAAGGTTTGGGGGGGGGGGAGACAAATACACAATTTCATGTAAACATTGAAAAAAGTAAAAATACGATAAAAATTGTGTTTAATAGTTGTTTTTAATTATAATTTAAATAGTTTGTTTGTTTTTTTTTTGATCTACTTAAGTAATTTGCGATAAATAATAGTTAACATTAAAATATCTCAATCAAAATGTTAACGCCGTTTGATTATTTTTAATTTATACAAAAGAAAACGTAAGTTACTTTACAAATTTAAAAATAATATTCCTTGTGCAAGTGTATAATGTATTTATTTGAGCTACACAGAGGCAAACTCATGCATACAAATTTCCTGTTTTTAAAATCGTATACTTGTAATACTTGTTATTTTAGCTAAAAATTGTTCGTTAGTCTTTTCGTCCGTTGGCTTCCACCCACAACGATATATGGATAATTGCAAAGTTTGGAAAGAAAATAAAAATATCGTCAACATTTTTTCTTTCCTTTTTCCAATGATGTTTGAGCCATGTAGGTAGGCGCAAATTCGCCATAAACGATAAATTTAGAAATATAATGTTCATTTAGGAACATTTAAATTTCTCTCATAAAAATTAATAATGTAAGATATAACGAGGATAAATAGTCCAATAGTATCGATTGTTTGAAATTACATTTATAACGAAGAGAAAATAGTTAATTTAACATTATATTTGACATAAATGCAGTAGACTATTATTTTATCCTATTACTGACACGAATTTTGAATATTAAGAAAAACTACCTTATGGAATTTGTATTTATAATAATGTCTGTACGTTCCAAGAATACTTAAAATTTATTTTATAATTGAAACTACTAATCGTGTCATCACATCTTGTTAATTGACTTTTAAAAACTATCGAATCAAGCGTTCGCGCGTAGACATTTTGCTTAAAAAGATTCATGTAAATGTGTAATTGCTTTTGTTATTTATACTTTTATTATTATGATTATGAATTATTATTATGAATTGTTAAAGTTTTAAAATATTGTAAAAATATTTCAGCTAAATTTTAATAAAAATATATTAAATATATATATATATATATATATATGTATTTGAAAACATTCATGTAATTACATGACAAAGCTCTAATAAAATATGTAATTGATAACCTTTAAAAATAATGTCACATACATCGTTTAATAAAACATGTACAATCAATCAACTTAAATAATATTATTTCAACTATTCATCTTAATCTTATGTTGTTAAGGCCAATTTCCACTATTTGCAACTCATCTACAGGAATTGAAATATTTTAATACTATGTTCGTGCCAATAAAGTATAATGTACAATAAAGTCATATTATAAGCATACACAGTGAAATTGCTACATTAAATATTATTAATGTTTAACGGAGTAGCAGGTGTTTTATCTAAGGACATCCTCAGCCAAATACGCAGTAAATTCTACTCTGATCCACGGAATCTTCAGGCCCAAAACGTCTGCGCCCGAATCGATCCTTTCGAGGCTTGTCTCTCGCGCAAAACCGTCGAAAATACGAACCATGTGTTCCAGCATAAAATTGAGACCGAGGGAAAGCCAGTTACGAATCAAAAAAATACCGGACGCTGTTGGCTTTTCGCCACCCTCAATGTCATTCGAGTACCCTTTGTTAAGCAGCACAACCTCGAAGAATTTGAGTTCAGCCAAAACTATCTATTCTTCTGGGATAAGGTATTATGATATTTATTTATATTTTACTTTGATTGTATTTTTTTCTTTCTTTTTTTTACCATGGTTTTAAAGCGAAATAATTGCAAAATTCTTTTATCAGAAGATCAGCCTCATATAATAATCATAATTATAAACTTTTATCTATTCATTATTTAAATTTATATGTTTAAGTGGCCTCTTTACCAATAATAGTGTTTTAAAAGTATAAAAAACGTTCTATGGTATTCGGGAAAATAGTCGTCCAGTCTAAGCTACGTGAACACGAAGAAATTTAAATTAAAATTCATACTAAATCAAATCTAATTGTTACATTATTGCAATGACGAGTTCATTTCTTTGATATGCAATTAATGTCCGAATTATACTTTAGTCTTTTAGCTTCGGTTTTGTAAATAAGTATTGCATTTTAATAATTAAAAGGCCATCTTAAAATACATATCACAATTTAGTGTCAAGACAATATAGATGCGCCGTGCGCTATAGCGTAAGTAATGTTAGTAAAATTTTGACGTGACAATTGAAGAAATAGCGATTGCAGTAAGCTAGGGTTCGACATTGTAAATTATAAAGGTCTTGGAGAAATTATTGCACTGACAATTACAAATTTAATGCCAAGCTTTTCGTGAACAATTGCGTAAATTCAAAATATATAAATAAATAAATAGATAATATAATAAAGTTTGATAAATATAAATTTGTGGATTTTATTGATCAGAGCTATCGAAGAATAAGAAAGAATATCTTTCACAAGACTTTAAATTACATTAATACGAATCGGCAAATTGACAATAGCTGCATCGTAAGATTAGATTGTGAAACAAGTGAGTTGAAAAATCAACCAAGTTGGAGCTGTACAATTATTATATTGACAAGTAAATTTTTGGGAACATTTTTTCTTCTTCTTTTTTTCTAGACATTTTAAATGACAATCCAAAACTAATTTTTTTAAATATATTATACTCATATTGGGATGACTATACACAGTTAAATATTAATAAAAAATCATTTACAACACTTATTTTTCGCAACCTTTCCTACGTATGATTGTTATCTCATTTTTCTTCGTGACTTGATAAGTAAAATAAGCAGAATGTTACGTAATCATAACGCGAATGCCTTTTATTCGTTTATTTTAGAAAATGTCAATTGTTTTTATCGCGACGGAGTAGAAATTAATGTCAAATTAAGTTTAAAAAAAAAATCACGTTACTTTTGTCCCCTGGAAAATGCATAGAGTATATTTACCATATATAATTGGTTACTTCCTCAACATATAGTCAAATTTAATTATATCAACTACCACAGAATTTACGAATAATTACGTCGATAGAAAAAAAAAAATCGGTCGCTTTTAATTCTCAAAATACAAATTAACATTGCTCTAGAAAGTAATTTTCAATGGGAAAATGCTGAAATAGCGTTATCGTAAACTAAAAATAGAAAAAGAAGAAGAAAAAAACCCGAATACCTTCTCCTCGTACAACCTTACATACTTTAAGCATCCAAATAAATGTGTATATTAATAATTGAATTAAATCCTCGATTAAGGGCTTCAAATTTCAATTAACGAAAAAGACTTATGGGCGCAGATCGAGCGAAGTAACTACTTCCTGAACAACATCGTGAAGACGGCGAAGCGTGGCGACACCGTGGATAGCCGGGTCGGTTTGTTTTTACTCTAACTTCTTTTATATTTTTCAGTTATATGATTTAATGAATATTAAATAGAACTATTAATATCTATTAATATCAATCGCTATGGTCTCATGCCGAAAGTCTGTTTTCCCGAGAGCTTCTGCTCGGAGGCATCGGCACGCCTTAATGCCCTGTTGCGGAGCAAACTGCGGGAGTACGCCCATGCGCTGCGCATCCTTGTCAGTTCTGGAGCTTCGGACCAGCAGGTACGATGCCCGCAAATCGCAGGTGCTTATCGCTCTTGGGCCGAATGCCTCCAACGTTGATGGAGACGTCAGACTGGAATACGAGGAATGGTTTTTTTCAACCTTCCTTACGTTTCCAATTACGTTTACAATTCTCAAATTGCACTATCTTATACTGTTAAATTGGTATTATAACTTATACATGCTGCTGCACACTTATTACAGATATTTAATCAATGTTTGTAAGCAATTTTCTATTATGGGATATCGTTACATGATTAACCAAGACATTTTTAAAGTCCCATTACTTTCAAGCATTTAATTTAATTAAAAATCAATTAGAATAATAATTGATATCGAACGAATTTATTGATGTTGTAGAGTATTTTAAAGTTTCATAATCTCAGAAATTGAAATTCTGATTTTCTGTCCGCTTGTTTTTAAATAATTATTGAAATTGAAATCAATGATTATCACGTTCTTAACAACTTCTTTAATTGCGGATAATTAAAATAGAAATTTTTGTTACTATAATTAATTTTCTGTAATTTAAATGAGTTACGGATAACTTCGTGGTTTTAGATTTTTACGTATTTTTAAATAAGCACATAATCAAAAACAAAAAACAAAAAAAACAAAAGCAAAAAAAAAAACTTTATTAATATAATATAATAAAATAATAATTACGAATTGTTGAAAATTGAAAATAACGACCAATCAATATTTGAAGTATTGATATTAATTTTATGAGTATATTAAAATAATAATCTACTATCTTGATTTTGCCATTATAATCCTAACTTTATCTTTTTTTCCTTAAATCGTTGAACAACTTAATTATTCTTAACTTAATTTCATATGCTGAAAATAAATGCTTTAAATTTCAAACGAACGTTTCTAATAAAATCGCAGCTTAAGATATTTAAAAATAATTATCATACGAATAAAAATTCTATGATACTATAAATCGGATACGTATCGCAAATAGCTATGATCTCAATTATATCCTCTATCCATTGTTATTATTTTAATAGGAATTATCAGTATTTTGAATTGAAATATTATACAATATACAACTCGATAATTGTAATTACAAATTAAAAAATTATAAATTAATGCCTGCCTTAAAAGCAGCGAATGTGAATGTAATGCAAAATTAATGAAAAGTAACAAACCATTAACACTCGATAGATCCAGGAGCGCATTTTTGACCAGATGACGGTCATATTCCGCATAGTTGGTATATGCCTGGGTGTACCACCGGAAACCTTCGTCTGGGAGTACTATGACAAATCAAAGAACTACTGTAGCGTAGGCCCGGTAACGGGGCCCGAGTTCTATGAGAAGTATGTAAAGCCATACTTCAACGTCAATGACAAGGTCTGCCTCGTAACAGATCCTCGCTCAACGAATCCCTTTGGTAAGATCTACACGGTCGATTGCCTTGGCAATGTCGTGGGCGGGCGGCCCACTATCTACAACAATCAGCCTCCCGAGCTGTTGATGATGCTCTGTGCCGAAAGCATAAAGAACAACGAGCCTGTATGGTTTGGATGTGAAGTTTCGAAGAGGTTCAGCAATAAGGCCGGCATAGAGGACATAGGTTCCCACGATTTTCAGCTCATGTTTGGCACTGACATTCAAGTCGTAATGTCGAAGGCAAACAGATTATTATACGCCGAGTCCTCTATGTCTCATGCAATGGTCTTCACCGCTGTATCCTATAATGTGAGATATCTTGTTATTCTTATTTATTTTTTTTTAATTTCAATAATTCTTATACACGAGTCTTAGGATTCATCTTAAGGGACACTTTTATATATTTAGGGGCATATTTTATCTTTCGTTAAAAAAAATTATGTGCCTACTTCTCCCGTTACAAATTGTAAGCATTAAATTGCTCGTTATTATGGTAAATCATGCTATAAGGTCATTTTCATCAACATTTACCGCCACGGTGCTGTTTTCATTCGATTTTACGAAATTCTGCTTCTATTAATTAATACATAAAATATTTTATTATCTTTTATTCATCTTTATCAGTATAATGATCAGCATTAGAATGCGAATTATTTATAAAAATATAATGCTATTTGTCATTATAAAATAAAATTATTACCAGAATAAAGTTTATTATTGTATGCATGATAAACAATATAGTAGTTGCGATATTAATATACAATATTAATATTGAACATACAATATATATTTTATTATACACTATAAACAATAATTTTTCAGATTAGTAAACAGTTATTTGAATATTGTGAAAGAATTTATACAAATTTATTACAATTATAATTAACATTTTTAACATCCTAATGAAATATTTTATTTTTTATAATTATCTAATATCTAAATATTTACAATTATCTAATAATGGTGCAATTTTAAAGTTAAAAATTAAATGATTATTAAACGAGTATTAAATGTTTTTCATTACAGTGATAATGAAAGATAATGAAACAATTATTATATACCGTCAATGTTATATAAATTTTAAACAAAAATTAAAAAAAAAAATTTTAAATAGCATGATTTTTTATGATTGTATTTTTCAAAAAGTTTATCAATCAAATAGTAATTTTTTTTTTAATTTTCGTTACTTTTGTAGAAGGAAGGTCAAATCTCAAAATTCCGTGTTGAGAACTCTTGGGGAGATGATCGTGGAGATAAAGGATATCTTGTTCTTTCTTCCGAGTGGTTCAACGAATTTGTTTTTGAAGCAGTGATCGATAAGAAGCACGTACCCGCTGAAGTGTTAGAAGTTTTTAATCAAGAGCCAATTGTTTTGCCAGCATGGGACCCAATGGGCACACTTGCACAGTGATAAATTATAGGACTCTTAATTGTACATGTTAAAAAATATTTTGTAATTGAAGTGAACTATTAATCCAGAAACAAATGACTCATTCAAATATAAGTGATATTTCTTTTAATAAATTTCATACAAAAAATTTGGTACTTAAAGCTTGGAAAACAATGTTTGAATTATTATCATTAATATAAAAAAAAAATTTCATTAAAATTAGTAATTGTAATTGAATGTCACATAATGTTCAATAGATTTTGTATAATCCAACGTAAAAACAAGATTGTCATTTATATGAATATTATGTATATGAAAAGGAAATAGATAAATTTATCTATCTCATTGAGATGGTGAGCTAAATGTCACTATAAGCATTTACGATGCATTTTTTACTTATGAAATTAATATCGATATAATAATACTTCAGTGGTTTAAATAAGATAGAAAAATGAATATTTGTTTATCGCATTACACTTTTTTTTTTAAAAACATAAGATCTTATTACTTTAAACAAATAAAGATTATACTTTGAAAAGATTTAATTTATTAACAAAATATTTCCTTCTTTTTACAAACCTTTTATTTCTCAATCGCATGAATCATTTTGTAATTTTGTAATTTTTTAATCGTATGCTTCCTGACGCTATAATAATATTTTAACTTTGCCCAAACGCCCTGACACATTTTCTGCAACCGTACGTCATTATCGTCAATAGCGAATGCATATATACTTTTTACCATTCTTTTAGTAATTTTCAAATATCCTTGCTGTAGTAAACTCAATGCTAAATAAAGCTTACAACGAGCAGCTAATTGGGGATCACGTAATTGCATTGATAATTTAAATTGTTCCAGTGATATTTCTCCTGCTATTTTTGCCTGTTAAAAGTTTAATAATTACATACAATTCTGGACTATCTAATTTTGATAATTTTACAAGAAGCTTACGCAATTATCAAATTCATCTCCTAACGATGAAAAAGCTCCTCCTAACGTTGACAACCACGACATTCCATTATTTATATTTTGCTGTATCATAAGCATCCGAGTTAATTTTTCATTCCTAATTTAAAAAATATATCTTTTATAATTTATTCGTGCTCAAATTTAATTTACATAATAATACTATTTATTAATGCTAACCAAGCATAATCAATAAATTGATATTTTGGATTGCATAGCTTAATTAAAATTACAGGATTTAATTCCTCTGCGTTTGTGGTCGTTTCAAGAAAATCTGTAAGCATGTTGATTACAGAGTTTCGATAAATATCAGAACGATGTAAAGTATCAATGAAAATCGAAACTAAATATGCGTTAAATCCTTTTTTACGCAATACTATTGGATTAATTTTTCGTTTTGGAAAAACATCCTTTACTAAATTAATATCAAATGTACATACAAAATATGGTGTGACAAAAATGTCATCGTAAACTGATTCTTTATTATAAATTATTAATCTTACTCCATTAACCATGTTTATTGTTATAAAATTTACTTATAAAAATATTTATCAATATAACCTAACTTTAAGGTTATATTAAATCTTGAGATAAATTATATATGTATAATCAATATTTCTTTACAGAATATAAAAATACAGTTGTTACAAATATATAACAGGTGATTTAACATCTTCTTTATCCAAGTTAATTTAAAATTTTATTTAGTAAATTAAAAATAATAAACGAAATAGAATTCTACGATCTATATACACATAAGGTTGCAACTATACTGCAATTCCTTTTCTATTTCTATATATTTGATGTGATTACTGACGGATTAGTAATATTATTCCCTTAAGAAGTGAGATAAAATTGTTGAAAAACAAAAAAATCTTAAGAAAGTATATGGGTTAAGTAAATCAGATTCGCCGATAAAAGTGGCTTTATAAAAATTACGTAATATCTTTAAAATTGAAATGAAAAAAGTACAGCTCCTTATTAAATTTATAATCTTACAGTTTATGTAATAAAAAAATGCTAGATATATATATTTTAATTTGCTCAATTTAAATATGTTTTTTAATTTATTTGTTTCTTTATAGTATCTTTTTAATTTAAATCCAAGTCTACTTAATTTTAAACTTTTATCAATTTCGTTCAATGAAAGATACAATGCAAATGATTTCACAGCTACCATCGTTTGTCCTTTGGAATTAAATGAATAAATTATTTATGTACAATAATATAATTATACGTATAATAAAAATATAAATATTCATAATACTAAGAATAAAATTATTATAAACAATTTAATGATACGGTAATGTCCATATTATATTATATATTACATTAATTATTTAACTTAATACCAACGTGATTTAATAATCAATAATATAACTTAATAGTAAATTTAACAAAAAATAAATATTTGCCGACATAAGGGTAAATAAATTCTTAACACAACTTCTGCATCGACGCTGTAATTTAATAAACAAATATACAAAGAATTATTTGTTTCATTTTGTTATCATCGACAAAATGTTTATTTAAATTTGCTTCTTTTTAAGGTATTTCGAAAAAATAACACAGCATAACAAACATATTTATTATTTTAATTAAATTTCATCAAATTTCATCAAATGGCATAGTATTAAAAATTGCATAAAAAATTGTAAAAAAATTTGCTCGATATTTAAATTAAGTCACTTTGTTGTTAAACGTATGAAATATTTACTAATTTTATAATATTAATGAAAAGTGACTCCTTATCAGGATCCTTAAGACCGAATAAATTCTACTCATGCGTAAAAAGTTAAAGAGAGGTTTCGCGCCATCTAATTTAAAAAATAATACAGATCAAATTCATTTGTTCTATTATATGATAATAATATTTATTATTTATTTAAATTTTATTAGGGAATCTATGATTTTTTTTTTTTTTTTTTTTTTTTTTTAATATCTATTGCATCTAAGTACAATTTCATAAAACATGAAGTATATTCGAAAGTTACCAATACTTTTTCAAATCGTTGCAATATAATTCAAAAGAAAACAAATTTCATTCTGCTACGCGGTAGTCTACCAATGCCAATAAACCTCGAATTTGGTTGATTTGGTTAAGTTTTAGGTGAAGTGATAGAGAATTCTTTCACTGAATATGAATTATAAATGATATTTTAGTTTTTCACTTTACTTCCAATAAAACTATCTTTTTAATTTAAAATTCTATAATTCTTAATATTATCAAATAATTGGAATTATAATAAATTCTTTTATCCAAAAAGCAAACAATAAATTCTGAATGTCTGCAGTTTATGTTTGTAAATTTGAGTTTTACTTACAAATGAATGCCTGATAAATAAAGAAACAAGAAATATTATTTATTTGTTAATAACGTTTGTCTAAAATATTAGATATACAATGACTCAGATCTATTTAGAGAAGGAAAATAAAAGATTGCACGACGTCTCAAAGAGAATAGAACATTTGAAAGTAGAATAATAAGCGTTGAAAAATTTTAAGAATGAATGGATTAAAGCATAAAAAATTAACTGGAAAAAGCAATGAAAATATGTCTTATTATTAAATATTCTTGATTAAATTTGATTAAATTGATAAAGAAACTTGAAAAAAAGCGATCTCTTTAAAAATCTCAAAATATTGCATACGATAGAAAAACGAAATAAATATTTTAGTTTTTATCATAGTCATAATAGTATTTAATTATGTGTTTGTAAAACAAAAAATAAATATAATGGTTCTACTTATAAAATTGAGATTAATGAAGATGAGGTTGATACTTATACATGCTAGTCGCTGCATAAAGAAAACCGAATATTTAGCAAGTTTTATAATAATTAGTGATTAATATTTAAAATGATTTCGAGTATTACTTACTAAAAATAATATAATTTTCTCTACCATAGTAATCGGCTAATAAACAAGTTAGATGAGATACACATTTATGTATGGTCGAATGTAAATGTATTCATTTGCAGATTAGTGTGTCTTATACGGATTCATAAAGTATTAGTCATTTATCTATACACTTCTGTTTGTATAAAATTAATTTTATTACAATTATTAATATTATTACTATCACTACTACTGTTACAATCATTATTTCTACTGTTACTATTCTTACTACTATCATTATTATTATTATTATGAAGTTCTATCTTATTGATCGATAGTTTTCTATTAAAAATGTTATTTATGATAGAAATTTAATTGTTCGTAGCATTCGTTTTATTATAGAAAAATTTAGTTCGGTTATTTTTCAAGTTATTCGAAATATTAATTCAAATAGATGATGAAGGTAATAATAACAAAAGACACCAATTATTTTCGTAATTCAAATCTATTCAAATAAATAATTTAACAAATGAATCACTAAAATCAGATTTCATCTGTAATTAATTATATAAATCTCTGATTAAACGTATAACAAATTATATTAGTTAAATATAAGTTATAGTAGTCATTTAAAAAACGAGTTTAAAACTGAAATCTGAAATGTATTATAGATAATCAGTGGATATTAAAAACAAAACGATATAAAGTTATTTGAAAAATTATTTTTTTTCAACAACGCTGTTACAAAACTAAAAGGCGTTTTAAAAGATTATGTTAAAATTGTAAAATTATATTGCAATAAGATATTAAAAATGTTGGTGAAAAAATTTATAAGCGTAAATGATTGCATTTGTAGCCTATTTTTTCAAAGATACTTTAAAACAACTAGTTATTTATATTCGTGTTTGAACAAGAATTTCAAAATTTTATATAAATAATGTACATACAAAAATAATGCTTTATATATATATATATATATATATATATCAAATTTTAGAAATATTCGCTATAACCTTTTGCTTACGCACCCGTGCATCAATGTTACATGAAATATAAATTTATACAACTATTGCAAATATTATTATTTATTTACTTTCTTAAATTATTAATAAATATCCAATACTAATAGTAACAAATCATTTATAAATATAAGAAATTTTTTATTTATTTTAATTTTATAATTATTATATAATGTATGTGTGGCTTTTATTGTAATAAAAAATTTTCTTTTTACATATAATATTTTTTCTTCCGACTTCAATTATTCTATTTAGTTTCTTCTTTTTCTAAAGAATTGTCCGAGTAAACAAAATTCAATTAATAGCTATCAGGACATAGAATCCAAAAAACTTCAACCTCGTATCATATGCTTTTTTCCAGAACGTTAAAAAAAATATTACTTTTTTTAATTGATAGAAAAACATACATTAATCTAGAGAATGTAATAAGCAAATAATTTATTTAAAATAAAAAATTTGATCGTAAATATGTAAATTCAATTTTTTCTTATATATAAGAAACAAAGAGGGAAAATTATTTCATATAAAAACGTTTGAAAGATAACGTTATAATTGAAATAAATTGTCCAGTACAAAGCTTTATAAGAAATTATGAATCTTAAATAAAAATGTCTGTAATTTTGAACTAAAATAGGATATGAAATGGAAAAATCTTGTGTAAAATGTAATAAAATATTTAGTTTTAATTTATTTGAAAAGAATCTTTTAAACGAGAATGTTGCTTTGCAAAATATCGATATACCGAACTTAGAATAAAGATTTGTAAATGAGCGGCTTTCCACAATCAATCGTAATAATGTCTCACAGCGATTATTTAAATAATTATATAATTTCAAATTACTCCTTGTACCTCGCGCATAGAGATCGATCGTTTTTGATTATCCAGAAAATTGTTATCTCTTGGTGATGTTTTTTTAACCATTTAGAATTGACTGTTGAGATTACGTTTTGAATTGCATCATTGATCAACTATTATAATGCGCTAATTTCCAAATTTACAATTTATATTTATTTATTTGTTCTGTCGTCGAATCGAAGTAATTTTTACTTTATACCTCTCTTCCATGTAGCAGTAGATATTTCAAAATTTTAGGTTTACAATACGTCATGTGTCATGTAAATTAAACTTAATCGTTATATGGAATTAAGGCAAAAATTCAGAAAATCGTTGTTTAAATATAACCTTTCATGCTCTTTTTTTTTTATATAAAGATAATACTTTATATTGATTGCCAGTAGAAAATTTTTATTTAAACTTATGTTGATTGTGAGAAGAAGACATAAAAAAGAGTATCATAGCCATTTAGCTGGACAAACAAAAAATCTCATTTACCAAATCCTGCATTTCGTTTAATTTTATCTATGATTTTACGCACTGTTGTGCGTTTGTTGAATTACAATAATTTCATGATAGCTCTGAACGAATGCAGAGATCTTCTGTTTTTTGTTGGATTTTGAAGGCAATTTATTATTCCAGTTGAGTAAATTAATGTAGATCGATGTTGACGTACGGCAACAC